AAGAAGTCTTGACAAAACATTTACGAAGAAGTCATGAAAATTCAAGAGGTTAGAAAACGTGTTAGAAAACAGGTGAGATCTAACATGCTAACATAAACTTTATTTTTGGTGTAAATTTCATGATTTTCGAGAGTTTTAAACCATGTTAGAAAACGTGTTAGAAAACGTGTTAGATCTAACATTCTAACATAAACTTTATTTTTGGTGTAAATTTCATGATTTTCGAGAGTTTTAAACCATGTTAGAAAACGTGTTAGAAAACGTGTTAGATCTAACATTCTAACATAAACTTTATTTTTGCTGAATTCAATAAAAATAAATGGTTCATTTACTCACAATATTTTTGTACAAAACAACCCCAAACTTTTAACTTCTTTTCTGCAGCTTCAAATGCTATCTTAGCGAGTTCATATTTTCTAAATTCTCTCTTTAAATCTTCTTGTTCCCATTGGTCTAGTTCGTATGGAGAATTTCTATAACCATAACATATCTCACGTTCATGTTCTAATTGTTTTTCGCACATTTTTCCAACTTCTTCTTCAAACAAAGGTTTAGCATTCTCTACTGTATCTTCGAGTTCTTCTTCATCTAACTTCTCATGAACTTTCTTGTCTATGGAGTCCATAATTTTTCCAACTGCTATGCAATATTTTGGAGAAGCCCACATTGCTATATAGTTTATAAGTCTTGGGTCTACATACGTTCCTCTAACCTGTTTGATTTCATCAGGAATTCCTGCATGAATTTTGTATAAAAAGCAACCGTCGGAATTCCGGCGGTTGCTATATTCTTCACAAAATGCCTTATAATACTCTTCCCAGGACTTATTTTCCAACAACTTTCTAAAGTCTTTCCTAAACTGCTGACACATATTTGTTGCATTAATGTAACCATCCTTGTCTCTACGTAAGACTTCAATACCGTTATAAGTGCCTTTTGTGAATGTTTCGCCATTAGATTTGTTAGTGAATGTTTTTGCTTCGACTGACATTTCTGTTCTTACCTACAAGATAAAAAGTTAGAAAAAAAAATAAAACTAACGTTATTTTTTCTGTCTTAAGGAAATTCATGAAAATTCAAGAGGGTGAAAAAAAGAGGTGAAAAAACATTTACGAAGAAGTCATGACAAAACATTTACGAAGAAGTCATGACAAAACATTTACGAAGAAGTCATGACAAAACATTTACGAAGAAGTCATGACAAAACATTTACGAAGAAGTCATGACAAAACATTTACGAAGAAGTCTTGACAAATTCAAGAGGGTAGAAATGAGGTTAGAAATGAGGTTAGATCTAACCATCTACCCGATATTCTCGTCAAATGAAAAAAATGACACTTTTTCATTAGATAACTGTTATTTTTTGACGAAGTGAAGATTGACACTTCGTCAAAAAAATCCCTGAAATCAGATCTTTTATACAAAAAAATACAAAATAAAACTAACTTTATTTTTTCTATCTTAAGGAAATTCATGACAAATTCAAGAGGTTAGAAAACGTGTTAGAAATGAGGTTAGATCTAACCATCCACCCGACATTCTCGTCAAATGAAAAAAATGACACTTTTTCATTAGATAACTGTTATTTTTTGACGAAGTGAAGATTGACACTTCGTCAAAAAAATCCCTGAAATCATATCTTTACATACAAAAAAATACAAAATACAAAAAATAAAACTAACTTTATTTTTTCTATCTTAAGGAAATTCATGAAAATTCACGAGGTTAGAAAACGTGTTAGATCTAACCTCTTCACCTAAATTATATTTTTGGTCCGGGAACAACTTTCTCTCAATTGGAGCTGTGGCATACTCTTTGCGTAAACGGTTCAGACCTTCTTCGAACTCTTGGTCTCTCTTCGATTTGGACTGAGATTGGAATTGCTGGGGTGGAGCTTGCTGGAACATCCAAGGGTTGGGGAAGTAAGGCATAGGCAGAGGAGGGTAGTTCGGGAAGCCTTGTGGTGGGTAGTAACCTTGAGGTGGAAATTGGTAGAAATTCGGAGGTACTTGCTGGAACTGAGCTTGCTGAGGAGACTGTTGTGGTTCTTTAGGTTCCTCTGGTTTGGGAATGGACTGGGTTGGTGGGACGTGGGACATTCGTTTGTGGCTTAACCGTCGGACCACAACGATAAAAATCTCTGCTACTAGCAGTACTGCTACTGACAGTAGCAGTACTTTTACTGACAGTAGCAGTACTTTTTCTGACAGTAGCAGTACTTTTTCTGACAGTAGCAGTACTTTTACTGACAGTAGCAGTACTTTTACTGACAGTAGCAGTACTTTTACTGACAGTAGCAGTACTTTATCGTCGAAAACCCTCTCAAATTTTCCTTTTTACTGACAGTAGCAGTACTTTTACTGACAGTAGCAGTACTTTTTCTGACAGTAGCAGTACTTTTTCTGACAGTAGCAGTACTTTTACTGACAGTAGCAATGGTCGAGGTCGAACCTACCGACGAGGCAATTTACCTAATTGAACTTAACGACTGCGTAAAAGACTACTTGCGCAAGGTCATGAAGCCCAAGGTCAAGTTCACCACTATTTCTGGAAGGGCTGCCTTGAATCTCGAGACTTCGACTGGAATTCCAATTGAGGTACCAGACGGGACAGCCTACGACGACATAAAGCAAGCAAAGAAGGAAGCCATTATAAAGTTCTTTGCCAAGCGTCCTTGGATACTACTTCCAAACAGAGAGAGTCCAATTCCACGAATTATACAAATTCTCAGAGCACTGTTCCACTTCTCGGGTCAGCCGTTCTTCATAACCTGTGAAGGCGACATCCAACCAGTTCAGTAAACATCTCATTTTAACTTCACTTTTTTATGTTTTTTGTGAAAGTGTCAAAAATAAATTGTTTTCATGAGTTTTCTACGATGTTAGAAAAGTGGTTAGAAAACGTGTTAGATCTAACATGCTAACATAAACATTATTTTTCAATATTTTTTCAGCACTTTTCCGTAGTTATATATGAAAGACAATTCGAGATAAAAGTCATAGTACAATGGAATAATATGTTGCACACCATTTGTTGTGACCCAAACTTGAAAGTCAGAGAAACTGTTACTAGGTGGTTCGTAGAATTTAGAAGCAAAGTCATAAAAGTCCTTACCAATACATAGAAAACTATTGTTGCTTGAACTGAAACTTGCATGACACATAACATTTTGAGGGTCAAACACGTTTCTATAAACTGTCAAATCTGCTGGTGGAAGTATAAATTGAAATGGACCATCTGGTGGTAATGGTTCGTTCTGGTTTAGTAACCGAAGAAATTGTGCCCAAGAACGTTTGTCTACTTTCCAAAATAAAAACTCTGTATCTCTTGGAGGGTTAATTTCAATCTTTTGAAATGAAACGGTGGAGTTCATCTTGTCATATTCTAGTTTCAGATAGTATGTTCCATTTAGTAAAGAGTCGTATTTTTCTTGAAATTCCCAATAATATTTGTTCATTTGAGTTTGAAAGTCATTTAGAGTTTTCTCAAGACTTTCGTCTGAACGAACTGTAAAGATTCTCATTTCGTCAAATTTGTCTATTAGACCATCAGAACCTTTATACTGCCCATGAAAATATACTGCGAACATAAATGCGTTAGTTCTATTTGAAAACAAAACTCTTCTAAATCCTATTGCCTTTGCATCTGAAGGACTTTGAAGCCAACGAATTGGATAGTCAAACCTGTATACTCGGGATGAAATTTCTTCATCTGAAATAGTCCTACCAGCATTTGTAAAGATATAGTCTAACGGTTTTGTATCTGCTACTTTTGTTCTTTGTTTTTCAACCTGAAGCATTTAATATATGTAAAAATATATTGTTTTAAAATGGTATGCCATTTCATATTTCTCATCTAACAAACAAGTTTCCCAACGGTCTTCTCCAACAAACACAGCGTACATTTCAAATAAAATAAAAAAATGTCACTTTTTTAAAATAAATTTTTTTATTTCATGCAATGTTTAACACATCGAAAGGCATGTCCATAAGACGTTCTTCTTCTAACCTCTCTAGTCTGTTTGGATAATTGGCACGTGCTGTTTCCAAATCCATTTCGTAGGTCAGACCAGCCAGTTTGTCATAGACTTTTATGGGTCTTCCTTCTATATTTAAACTTCTTCGAAACTCTCCAACCATATCTTTGTAACTCTGCTTTTATTTTAGCAGACTTTCTATCCATTCTATATGGGGGCATTTTTATAAAAATAAAAAAATATTTTTTTCTTTACTTAACATAACCGCCTGCTGCCATAAGTCTTTGACGCCAACCCATACCAGCTAATGAAGGTTGACTTGGTTTAGTTTCCAAACTAAACTTTGGTTTTGGTTTATCTTCAGTTTTTGGGTTTTTCTTCTTCTATCGTTTTTCGTCACTTTTTCGGTTTCTCTGACTTTACTTCACTTGCAGGAACAGTTGTGTCGTCAACATCTTCATAAATATCATATGCCATTTGTTTTGTTTTCCTTTCAACTTTTGTGTTTGTTGTAAAGTTTAGAATATTTCGACTCTAAGTCAATGAGATGTTCTATAATGAACTGTTTCAGGTCATGATATAAACCCATCTGTTGTCTCGAAAGCTCCTTCAGACTTCAATATTTTATTTGTGAGAGTCTGTTTCTTTTTTGAGATACTTGCCGTTCCATTTTTATGAAAAGTGACTTTGTAGTTAGGGTTTGTATTTCCAGACCTGGCACTTTCTATTATTGAATTTTTCTCTTCATCTGTAAGTTCTTTGACAGGTTTTGACAATGGTTCTGAACTTTTTGTTTGTGGTGTCAAATCTACCGTTTCAACTTCTTCGGTCATTTCATCTCAGTAAAAAATTTTAGTTTGGTTTGTTTTCAACTGGTTGTTGTTGTTTTTTAAGTCGGTCTAAAACTTCCTGAGGTATAGGAAGAACTTGACAAACACGTTGTGTAACTGCTGGAAGCCGACAAATCCATCTTGAACCCATTTGTCTCAATGCTGTATTGTTCATTTCATCTCAGTAAAAAACTTTACATTCCCCACGTTTGAGGCGGTTGAGGTTGGTTATTGTTTACCCATTGTTGTGCATGGTTATATCCTCTGTTAAAGAATCTTTCACCTTGGTCCATATAGTGTCCTGCTTGGTTATAGTAGTCATTTGCTTGGTTATAGTAGTCATTTGCTTTGTTATAATAGTTTCCTGCTTGTCTTCCTACATTGTCCATCCATCCTTGAACTTTTCCTCTTGTTTCAGGATTTGGAATAAGATTTGTTGCATCTCGTGCTACATCCCAACCTTTCTGTACAGTTTGTATAATAGGTTGTGCTTTCTCTTTCAGTATACCTAATGTACTCAAAATCTTCCTTCCAACCCCAAATACACCTCTGGCTATTGTTCCCACTGCGGGTAAAAATCTGGATGCAACTCCTGCTAATGCGCCAAATAAACCCATTTCTTATAGGATAAAAAATGACGAATCCAAACAAGGACCCCTATGTTTCTAAAGCGACAAAGAAAGCACTCATGGTAAAAATCTTTAGTTCAACACCAAATGCTTGGTTTATGGATATCTTGGAAAACATTCCGAGAGTTAGAACAGATGGACCACCATACTGGCTAATATTTGTCGGTCAAAACACAAGATACTGTGAAGCCATACCATTATGGTCCAAAAATATTTTAGATGTGAAAACTGCTTTGACAATATTCGTTGACAAATACCATCCAACAAAACTGACATCTGACTGTGAAAGTTCTTTCAAATCAGATGATGTAAAAAACTATCTGCGTTCAAAAAATGTAAACCAATATTTCATTGTCGACCAAAACCATTCTGCTCTTGGTGTCATTGACGGTTGTATAAAAATGTTAAGAGACTTAAACCAACCACAAGGTGGTGTAAGCGAAATGAAATGTCATATGACGAGAAATATAGACACTTCTCCATGGCAAAGATGAGACAAGTTTTAAATATTTACAATAGCCGTAAACAAAAAGGTTTGGGAAACCACTCCCCGAAGAAATGAAAAACAACCCTGACTTAGAGAAAGACTATATATTTAATAATTTAGTCAAAAGAGACAAACAAGAAAGAATGCCGGGCTTCAAACTTCAGAAAGGTGACAAAGTAAAAATAGAAATACCTAAACGCGACCCATATGAAAATACTATTGACTATGACAACAATGGGAACCCGACAGGTACTCACATTCGTGTTCGTAAAAATAGAAGAAAGTATACAAGAGAATATTATGAAGTTTTAGGCAAACATGGCAAAATGTACACACTGCAAGCAGAAGATAAAACTACTATTGTCAGACCTCGTTTCAAACTTGTCAAAGTTCAAGGTGGTATACTTTCAAAGACAGTTCCTAACAAATATAAGACAACTCCTGACGAATATGCTAAAGAAGTTGAAAATGACGACTAAGCATTTCTATACCATGCGTAAACTGTCATGTAAGGTGGCATGTATTCTTTACTTTGTCCCGTTGTTTGCGTATATCCTGAAACGTGATGTGTATGGTTTCCTCCTCCCTCAGTGTTACTCCAGTAACAATTTATAGCAAACTTAACGTCGTCTTTAACATCATATCCTTTACCTTTTATCATTGCTGACCAATCCCAATATCTATGCTTATGCCAACCTGCTTGAGATGTACTTAAATCTATGTAGTGACTGTGTGCAGGTAAATTTTCACCTGAAATCGTTTTACTTCCACCTGTTTCCTTTGAAGAGTTTGCACAATACAAAAACCTGTCGACTATTTGAGTCCAAGTTCCAAAACCCAGAACTGTTTCTGGTCTGGTAGAGTTCATTGACGTATAAATAGAGCCTATAGGATATAATGTTTGAAGCATTTCTGTCTTTAATGTTTGAAGCTCTGTTTTGTCTGCTTTCTTGTCATATAAATCTTGAGCAGTGAATTTAATATTATGTTCATCCTTCATGACATAAACATCTTTACATCTAATGTTTTTCATCGTCGTTATGTCGTCATCCGATGTTAAACCTTGTGGAAAGTTAGGAGGTTTACAATATAATGCATCCCCACCAGTTCCTTCAACCGTTCCTTCAATACTTTCTATAGCAACAGTTGTAAAACTTGTATGTGTATGAGTCTTATTTGCTTTCTTCTCTAACTCATCGTTAACATAAGTTTTATCTGCTTTAAGGTCTAAACATCCTGAAACCAATCCTGTATCAGCTTTAGTTTTTTAAAATCTTCGATGTCCATTCATGATACCATTCAGCCCTTTCTATAATTTCATTATCTTTTTCATCCACATATTCCTTATCCCTTCTTCTCTAACTTACTAGCCACATATTCCTTCACGCTTTCTTTTCAAGGCTAACTTTAAGTCTGTTATTTCAGATATAGAATGTGTATGAGTCTTTTTAGAATATTCGTTTTCAGCTTCTCGTCACTTCACTTGACATTTTATTGTCAACATATGTTTTGTCTGCTATCAGGATGAGTATGTTCTTTTGTTGCATAAGCATTGTTAGCTCTTTCTTCTTCTTTTGCTATTGCATCGTCTACATATTCTTTGTCAGCTTTGTTGTCAACATCTGCTTTCAAAAGAAGTTCATTTATAGGTTTCTCGTTTAAAGTTCCTTTGTTGGATTTATACAGACAGTATTGTTCTTCTTGTCTTGAAATAGAAACTCATCTGTCATTGGGTTTAATGTCAGTTTTAAGTTTCCTTCTTTCAATGACTCAGATATCTTAGAAATAGTTTGAAAAGTTTGTTGTGTTCTTATTTAGAGCTTGCATAATGAGTTGTCGTTGTGTTGTATTTCTCTCATAGACGCTGTTTCATTTGACATTTTTATTCTAGATAAAATATGCTTCCAATAGAAAAAGAAAATTCAAGAGTTGCTACAACTAAACCATTAGATGAACTTTTTACTAATGTCGGTCAAAAGTTTGAGACAGAGACCGTAAAGCATGAAGGCTATCGTTTTGACTACCCATTAAGATGGCTAAGAGACCCATCTGTCACAAAAGCTATTGGCTTTCGTAGAATGAAGTTCATTTCAGAAGCCATACATGGTTTCCCATTTACGGTCGGTTTTTGAAGTTCGATACTATAACAAGAAAAACGTATGTATGAGAAATTTGAACAGGGAAAACTTTTACAAGTTAGTTTGCTTGTAAACTTAGAAACAACTCTTCAAGCTTTTCAAGAAAAAATAAACGATATCTATATCGAATATGCAAAACAGTATAACATTGACGAAGGAAATACCATCTCGATATTATTTATGACAGGAAAAATGCAACTGTTAAAATCAATAGAATAGAAGACCTTGGAGAAAACGTTTATATTTCTACAAAATATATAACAACTTGGCATGGTATAGATTTTATGAGGATGTTAAATCAGCCTGCAGCATATCCAGTACACCCAGACTTTTATGAAGTCGAAAACCCTAATGGAACATATGAAAATGTTTTCGACCAAGATGCTATTATTGTTCATGCTTCATTTTCTGGCGCCCAAAACTCTTTCTTATGCTTGGCAAATGACTTTTACGAAAAACCTACAAAGTTATACGAACCACCAAGTGGAAGTATTTCAGACTTTCAAGTATGGTTTACTACAGATGGAAAAAAAGAATAATTCCATTATACCATGCGTTTTACTTAGAACTTAGTTTCATATACAACTACTATCGAACGGTAAAAATATAATTTTTTAATACGGTTGAGGTGTTGGATTTGGTTGCCAACTAGACTGTGGTGCAGGTTCAGGCTGTTGTATAACAGGAGCTTGTTCTTCTGGTTCAGGGTCTTTAGGTATAATACCAACGAACTGACCTACCCTTTTACCAATATTTTTGACTCCGTTCCAAATTCCTCTTCCTACGGTTTTTATTCCATTCCATATACCTCTTCCAACATTTCGAAAGAAGTTTCCTATCTTACTGAAGAAACCCATTTTACTATATGTAAAAATCTAATGTCCGCCTAGTCTCTTACGTTTCCTGTTGAGTTCCATAGCATTCTTTAACTGGAGCTCATACATTCTGTTTCTCCTCTGGTAGAAAACATATTCTGGGTCAACTCCTGTGTTCGCGTCATCTGCATAAAGTTGTTTATATCCCACTTCAGGGTTTGTATAAAACTCTTTCCATCTCATATTTGCATACCATGGTGGCAAACCTAACGCAGCGTCATTTGACATGGCAGTTTGCATTTGTACATCTGTTGGCACTTGACCATAGTTTGCCATTGCAGTTTGTATTCTAACTTCATTTGGAATATTCTCTGGGTTTGGTTGTCCAGGTTGCTGTGCATTCGCTAAGTTCTGTGCGTCCATTTAATATTAGATAAAAATATCTCTTACGAGTACATATACTGAACATTTGCAGGCATTGGTTCATCTTCATATTCTCTGTACTTTTCTGCCACGTCAAAGAAATAAATGACACAATGGAAAAAACCTAAAACAAGTAGTCCTATTTCAAACCACATTTACTTACTAATAAAATTTCTTTGTTATGACACTTTCTCCGGTTTATAGGACCTCTCTCATATTCTATCTTGTCATATCTAAACTCATAGTCATGTATGTCCTCTAACCATCTCATAACGGTTTCCAAACCACTTTTATCGGATGTAAAGTAAAAGCATGGATGGTTATGTAAAACGTCTAAAGTTTCTAAAGAGTCTCTCAAAGTCCAGTCTACTTGGTATTGAAAATCCCATGTGTTATAGAACGGCGGGTCCACTATAAAGAAAACATTTTCCTTGTCTTTATATTTTTCATACAACTCTGTCCAATAACATCTCACAAACTCTATACCCTCAATATATTTTTCTATGTCCTCTTTGAAAACATTTGTATAGTTAAGATATAAAACTTTTGACATAAGTGTTTCAATGTCATGAACTCTTATAGAACCACTATATAATAGTCTAGCAGATATACTATCCCAGTCTATATATTCTGCTTTTTTCAAAACCTCTCTCACAATATTTTTCTTATCTAATGGTATACGTTCCATCTTACCTATAGGTATCTTTTCTTTTAACTCTTCAATATATTGTTTGTGTCTGGAATATGTTTGAGACGGTTCATATAGTTGTCGAAGTCATTGCATATAATCTTTGAGTCTGGGAATATTGTATGGCACAAATGGGATATATAGAAACTTCCACCGAACAAATCTACAAATGTTAGACCATTCGGTAGTTTCTTAAGTTCTCTCAATATAATATCTTTACATTTACTCTTATTTCCAAAGAACGGTAATGGAGGTTTTGTAAAATTCATTTATATATAATAATAAAAATGTTTTTCCCTGAAAAGTGACAGAAAAGTGACAAAACATGAAAACATATATAATTTGTGAAAAGTGAAACATTATATAATGTTTTCGACCCAGAAGAAGGCTTCTTCCCAGAAGCAATGGAGGAAGAAGAAGAGTCCTCCGAATTCACACCAGAAGACTAACAATTTTCCGAATAAAAACTTCATTTATACTAAACATCTTCGGGGCTAGAGGGCACGAAGTGCCTGGAAGCCCCACTACCTTTTTTTTAATTAACTTCGATTGATTGATTTTGACTAGGAAATTCTCAAAATGAAAAATAATCGCAAGTAAAATCGATAAATTGTAATGAGTATGAATTAATTTCATAGCATTTATTTGTTCTTATATTATTCAGTCAAAATTTTTTAAAATTGTATTTTGAAATATTTCCTTAAGTTTATGATAACAGCATAGGGTTCATCCATTGTATTGACTCAATATACCAAATTTGAATCCATATAATACAATACTGAATCCATAAAAATTTCAAAAAAACAAATTCTTAATTTATAGAAATCTACATGTTCTAATTGGCATATGGAATCAATATAATCATTTGAATATAAATTGGCATATATAATTAACTTCGATTGAGAAATAAATCATTTCTAAGAACTCGGGAACTTGGTATATTATCAAAAATGGATGACAGTTAATTACTTTTCTATGAATAATTTCGTTTGAAACAGTACTCCGGATCAAAAAAATTCCTGAATTTTGTTCAAAGATAATCAAAAGATTTTCCAGAAACAATATAGTACTCTCAAAATCTTAGGTTCGGCCTCAGAAAAATTTATGTACGAAAATTTTCTCTAATTAAGTAGTGCATATTATTCTAATTAATATTTTATAAAAATATAGTTTGAATGAAAATCGATTATTTTCTTGATTGATACCTATCCAAAGTTATAAAGCATACAGTATTCATTTTTGCAAAAATCTCGGGAACATAATCCGCTCAATTTTATTTGAGAAATTCGTAAACTATTCAAAATTGAGAGCCATGTTCCCGAGAATATTGCATTACTATAGTTTACAAAGGAAATGTATGAGATAATGTCCAACACATTCTGCGATTTGTTAACATATTTCCAATAAAATTTTGAAAAGTTCGGAGTTAAACAAATTTCCTGTAAATATTTTAACAAATTATAAAGAAAAAATTAAAAATAAAGATTAGAAACTGAAATCTTTTCAATTGCTCATATTTAATTAATGTTAAACGTGTTATGTATGTTTTTATAATTTACTTACTTTAAATATTTTACTGTAAACTAAATTGCTATGGTTTAGGTTTGGTAATGTTTTTCTTCCTAATAATGTGCAATATAGGCTTAACAATATTCATGTTAAAAGAGATCCCACGGAGAAAATATTATTTCCCATCCACTTTTATTTATTTTGTTTTTGTCTCTCCTCCTGTAGAGACAAATGAGTGAATGAAATTTTGAATAAAAATATTTTTTGCATTGTTATGAATTAAGCTTAGCAATGATTTTCTTCCTCAGATCTTAAAAAATTAGCGATATTCTAGTTACTTTTCCCTTCCATTTTATTTATTTGGTTAATGTTTTCCCTCCTGTAGAGAAAAATGAGTATATGAAATTTTGAATAAAAATATTTTCAAAGAAATTGAATGGTGATCAGATTTGTGTCAGTGTAGTCAGATTGAGTCGAAAAGATCTAGACAATAGAATCTGCAATAAAAATAGGCCTGGACAAAATCGAGAAAAACATTACCGTGCGGTAAAACAGGGTCAAAAAAATCGCGCCTCGGCGGCTCCACCGCCTCGGCACTATTAAGTGCGCATAATATTTAATATGTCCTTCTTCTTTTTTTTTCTTTTCCTTCTTCCTTCCCTTTCCCTCTTCCTCTCCTTTTCCCTCTTTCCTTCTCCTTCTCTTTTTACATCAATGTCGAAGATCTTCGAATATGATTGTTGGAAAAGCATCTATTTCAGATAATGGATGCCTTTCTAACAGTCAATATACGATGATCCTGGTTGAATTGTTCTCAAAAAGCCTGAAATGGTTCTTTGCTGATCATTCAATGCTGGACAGGTAATCATTGTTGTCAAAACCTGTCTTTATGCATGTAGGCTTTCAGGTATATGGATTTACACTATCAAATAGCAAAGTTGTTCCGAATTCTTCGAAATAATGGAAGGACTCGAAACAACTTTGCTTGTTGACGATACAGATGTATTACTTTGCATTAATACTATGCTAAGCTGTGTAGAAAGTTCGATTATAGCTGTTTTGCTCTGGGATCTTTCATCTTATGATGAGAGAAATCAAAGCAAAACATCTCTAATGAGTTTGTTTTCACTCATTTGTATGTAGGCTTTTAGTTTGATTGGAGCTGCTTCACAATGAGATCACTCATCAATTGTTGAGGGAGATCATAACAAAGCAGCTCCAATGTATATGCTCGCATCAATCGGGTTGTATGCGTTGTAATGTCAGCTTGTGGTTCGTTTGAGGATGCTTCACAATGATATCTCTCATCAATTGATGAGGGAGATCATAGTAAAACACCCCCAATGATAATACTTGCTTTAGTATGACTGTAGAATGCTGTAGCTTTAGTATATGATTCGATGATCAAGAAGTTCTGGATTCCCAACGAGTCAAATGAGAATTCCAGAGCTTCTTGTCATATATGAAAGTTGAGGTTCCTGGGTTGAAGTTATAACAAGAAGGTATAAGTGAGTACGTAAGCTCGGCATTCGCCGAGCGAATTAAAAAATTAACGTATGAATTTTTATATTTTTTGAAAAAACCAAAATTTATAAATTTTACTGTATTTATATAAGTAAACATTTTTTAACTTTATTTTAAAAATTCTTTAGGTATATCGTTTACCGCAATTCAAATAATGTATTTACTTCAAAGATGCAAATATCGCATTGGTGTATAATGTTATTGATATTTTCTATGCAAAGTGAGCTGCGGTAAAACTTGCGGTAATTCCGCAACTCAAAATGCGGATAAAGTACTCAATTTGCGGCTAAACCTCTCAATTTGCGGTAAAAGTGCGGTAATACCTTTTCAATTTGCGGGAACCTTGCGGTAAAAATATTAAAATTAGTCAATTTCTCATGAATTTGTTTTAACTAGTTCTGGCTCGTAAAATCGAAGACATTTGCAATTAAAATTCTTTGAAAAAAATTCCAAAAAAATTTCAAAATCAAAAAAATGCAAATAATTTCGTATATTTTTTATTCCGTAATTTTCAAAAACTCTCCCGATATGTGGTTTCCGCGGAATTATACCGCGGGTTACCGTATGAACAGGCCTAAATAAAAATTTCAAAATTAATTAACTTTGTTGAACCAGATAAATTAAGTGTTCGAAGGAATAGCTAATTTGAATAAAACCATAAAGGACAAACCTAGATTAGATTAACTTTTAATAATCGAATTGAATTCAATTCAAAATACTTTATCCTTAAATAATATTCGTGATTATCTCGAATATATTTATCCCAAAAAAATTTCAATACAAATTTCTGAAAAAGAAATTCGTGATTTTGACACTTTATCTCTTAAAAATTCAAAAATATTGCATGCAATTTACCATGAATCAGATTTCATTACGATATAAATTCATGTTTCAAGAAAATATTCAATATTTCGAAGAATTTGATAACCATTGAAATTATTTGATAATTGAGAGAAAAGAAAATGAACTATGTTTTTTTGTCCCCATGGATTAATATTTCTGGTGGCAATATCCCATCACGTAGATTTCGCTATAATTCAAATTGGGTTTGTGTAAACATTAAAGGAGCAACTATTATTGGAGATAACGCATTTGAAGAATGTAAAAATATTCTTGAAGTATATATACATGATACCACTACAACAATATTAAATAATGCATTTAAAGGTTGCGAAAATTTAGTTAAAGTTCAACTCCCAGACACATTGAGATATATTGGAAATTCTACTTTTCAACATTGTTATAAACTTTGTGATATAAAAACTCCAAATGGATTTCAGCACCTGGGGGCCTATGCGTTCTATAATGCTTCATTAACTGAATTCAACTATGCTTCCTCAATTCAGTATATCGGGCAATATGCGTTTTATTGGTGTCAAATTAATAATATTACTATTGTCCCAACTCTATACAATTAAGCTATCTTCTACAATTACAAGAATAGATGATTGTGCTTTTTATAATTGTAAGTTGCAATTTATTGATCTCCCCAATGGATTTAAGTCTTTTGGAAAAATGGTTTTTGGAAGAACTCCGATGAATAACATTACAATCCCTAGAGGCATGACATCAATTGGAGAGTGGGCATTCAGAGAATCAAATGTTTCAATGATTTATCTTCCTGACACAATAACATCAATTGGAGATTATGCCTTCTTCAATTCATCATTAGAATCCTTCCAAATAACTTCAAAGATGACTGTTGGGGTATACGCATTCTCATGGACACCTATGAAAAGTTTATCTCTCCCAAACAATAGAAGATCCATTTATAACTATGAATTTGCATACACAAACTTTGATTCATTCATCATTCCTGATAGTGTTACATCAATTGGTTCGTATGCATTTGCTGGATGCAAATTTGATGAAATTAGAATTCCAAATAGTATCACGACACTTAGTTCCAGTGTATTTAGAGATACATGCATCAAACATATTTATTTACCCTCGACTTTAAAGCAAATCAACAGTAATTGTTTTAAGAATGCATCTTGTACATTCATTGATATTCCAGAATCAGTCACAATAATTGGAGGTAATTGTTTTGAATATTGCAGTATTCCCTCAATTATTCTTCCAAATAGTATTACGTATTTGTATAGCAGAACTTTCCGTCATAGTTTAATAAATAGGATTACATTACCAACAAATCTAAAATATATAGAATCGGAATGCTTCTATAATTCATCTCTACTTTTAGAAATTAAACTACCAAATACGCTTGAAACAATTGGACAAAGATGCTTTCAATATACTACTTTCAACACAATAACGATTCCTCCCAAAATTGAAAAACTCCAAATTGCTATTTTTAGGCATTCTCTTTTAGAAACAATTTATTTACCAAATGGATTGAAATACATTGAGCATGCTGCATTTTACAATTCATCTCTCAAAAATGCTGAGATGCCTGATACCCTTGTTTATATTTCTTCTGAAGCTTTTTACAATACATCACTATCATACTTGAATCTCAAAGAAAATTTCATCTCATTGTATCCTTTTGCATTAGCATCAAGTAATATCTCTCAAATTACTTTTCCTCATTCCTTGAAGAGTATTGGAGAATTTGCATTTCGAAATGCCCACATACCAACTATAATTATTCCTGAAGGATTAAGACAAATTGGAAATAATACATTTTCAGATTCACAAATTGAATTCATGGACCTACCATATTCGCTTCAAAAAATTGGAAATTATTCATTTAATAACTGCACATTGACAAGTATTGAGTTGAAAGAAGGACTTGAAACAATATCTGATTATGCATTTTTCAATAGTAGCATCACAAAAATAAACATCCCATCAACAGTTAATTATATTGGTGAATATGCATTCTATAACTCTCCAATTGAAATATTGCAACTCCCAGATAAATTAAATAATACTTCAATAGGGAAATATGCTTTTGCTTATTTGAAGCAAAAAAGTCTTTCAATTCCAAATGGGACTATTTCAATTGATCAGAATTCGTTTAGAGGAGTGGTAGCAAACAATATAACTCTGCCATCTACACTAAACTTTGTGGGAAATTGGTCATTTGCTGATGCATTCTTAGATGAGATTTTTATTCCAAAAGATATGGAGATTATACATGATTATTCGCTCTCATCAAGTAACATAAAAAAGATTGAAATTCCATATTCTGTTAAAAGTATAGGAATCTATGCATTTATGACATCAATTATAAATGAAATATTCATTCCAAATAATACATTTGTAGATTACAACGCTTTCGATGACTGTAGTGAATTAGTATATGTTAATCTCAGCAAGAAAAGTATAATAAACCATGATGCCTTCTTCAACTGCTACTCTATAACTAATATCACTACAAATGATGACATTATTTTTGAAGGTTTTGCATTTTACAATGTATCCAATAATGTAACCATTGTTCATATCGGAATGCATGATATGAGAAACAGAAAAACCAAAGATTTCTTAAACCCAATAATAAATAATATCTATGTCTTATGTTGCTACAAATCTCCAAAATTCTGCCGTCTTAAACCAAGCAATTACACATCTTGTGAAGGAATATTTAATTGCTTTTCATATAATAAGCGGCCATACAATGCAAACTATGCAGTCTTGGCAACAATGTATTTTTCAAGATTGGATGATGATTAAAATTATTATTCTCATTTGAACATTATATTTTTTATTAATAAACTTCTGCGCCATATTGTAAATTTATATCTTTTTATTTAGTAGAGAATATTTTTCCATGAGCAAAACATTATCCTTATTATCATTAAAAATTCAAAAATTTATTTAATAAAGTTTTTATTAGATCAAATGTAAAAGATTCTTTTCAAGATATATCATTAACAGACATCCCGCAAAAAGTTGAGCCTAAATAACTATTTGTAACATTAACAATTAAAGCAATTTGTTTGAAATTGTTAATTGTAAATTGATTTGAAGGTTCTGAAATTCCATAATATATGATAGTAACCGACTTTGAGGTTGTTCCGAAGGCATTATATGTGAATTCGACGTCTTCATAAACAATCATTTCTTTGAGAGAATTGCATCGATAGAATGCATTGGAATCAATAATGCATCCAGTACCAAACGTCACTTTTCAAGATTAAAACAATCTTCAAATGCATTATTTGAGACATGGCAATTATTTGGTATAGTGAATTCTTCAATTGATGACGACATAAAAGCAAATTGACTGATATTTATTAACGTTGGTGGTATTTCAATATTTTTTATATCTGACATTGCAAAACAATATTCTTCAATGTCACTTATTCCTATTCCTATTGTACATTGTTTAATATAGCAATCAGTGAAAGACCAATTTGAAAATTGTTTTATGCTTCCAGGAATTATTAGATTTTCTATGAATGATCCTCTAAATGCTTCATATCCTATATATATGGTATTCATTGGGATAGTAAAGTTTGTGAAATGCAAATATCCAAATGCAAATTCTTGTATTTTAAGAGATTCAGAGGTTGTAGGTAAGATTAATTTTTCGACTGAAGTATTATAAAAGCAGCATTTCCCTATAGTATAAACTGATGGAGATAGTTCAACATATTTTATCTGACTTAGAGCAAAACAGAAATCACCTAAGTATCCAATGTTTGGAAATATAACGCTTGTGCATGGTGAATTCTCAAATGCATAACTTCCAATAAGATACAATGATCGTGGAAATGTAATTTTTTCAATTATACTTCCATAAAAAGCGCGATAGTGGATTTGTGCTACTCCCTCAGGGATGATCAATTCTTTAATTAATGTACCATAAAATTCATAATCAATAATAGAGTATATTGAATTTTTTGAAATATTAATATTTTCGCAGTTACAATATTGGAAACCTCTACCCATAGATTCAAAACTTGAAGGTATTGTTATATTTGTTATATTGCATGAAGCAAAAATTTCTTCACCAAGTCTTTTTAGGGATAAAGGAAATTCGATTTCAACTAGAGATGTATTTGCAAATGCTTGATATTTAATAACCGATAAATTATCTGGTAGATGTATTGTTTTCAAAGGTGTCGAATAAAATGCTTTTTCTCCAATTTCTTTCAATGTGGAAGGAAGAGAAATAGTTTCTAAGAAACTCCATTGAAAAGTTTCATCATTAATAATTTCAATTCCTTCTGGAATACTAACATTCCTGAAATAACAATACTCAAATGCATTTTTTATTATTCTTTCCACAGAATCTGGAATATATACATAATCAACATAGCAATGGGAAAACGATTGAATGTTAATTGATTTAATGGAATTGGGCAATATTATTCGTGAAATATTTGCATACCCAAATGTGCTGTATTCTATTGTTGATGGTCCATATGGAATTGTAACATTTGGAATTGTTGCATAAGAAAATGCTGAGCTATCAACATATTGAATTGTTGATGGTAAGATAAGTAAATTTAAAGTCATATATGATAACTCTGCAGAATAAATTGTCGTTCTACCATAAGGTATTTCATAGGACTTCATTGGTGTATAACCCCATGCCTTATATCCAATAGATACCTTAGCTGTTAAATTTATTGATTCGGGTTTACTCTTATAAAATGCCTCAGCACCAATGCTTGTTAATGAACTTGGAAGAGAGATTGATTTAATCTTACTTAACTTAAATGCATCATATTCTATATATCTGATTTTATTGCTTAAGTTTATTGTTGTTATATTTGCTTGATAAAATGCACCAGGAGATATACTAGTCATTAAAGGAGGTAAAATTATTTCTGTCATTGGAGTTCCTGCAAATGCGCCATATCCAATTGTTATTACCGAGTCTGGTAATTTTATTGATTGAAGCTTTGAAAAACAGAAAAAATATCTTGGAATGCTTGTTATTCCTTCATGGAACTTAAATTTATTGAGATATGAATCTCTAAAAACACCTTCTCCAAAAGTTATTGATTTATTATAATAAACTAATTTTGATATTTTCGATCCAGCAAATGCATAATCTTGGACTGAAGTGACAGTCACAGGGAGTTTCACAATCAATATATTAGAATTTCCAAATGCCCATGAAGAAATTGATTTGGTTCCATTTGGAATTTCAATCATTGAAAGGGTTGAATTTGCGAATGCACATGAACCTATACTTATATGAGTTGTGAGATTTACATAATTGAGTTTTGTATATGCGAATGAATAACTCCCAATTCTTTGAAGAGTTTCAGGAATATAAAGCTTTTCAATATTAGTATAAGCAAATGCATAATCATCTATTGTTAATAAACTTAATGGTATTTCAAGAACAGATATATCATTATTGTAAAAACAATATTTTCCGATTGATATCAAATTTTCAGGAAGAATCAATTTTGGAATATGTGAGTAACCAAATGAATAATCTCTTATCTCTTTCAACGTCGAAGGAAAAGAAATATACTTGATGTTCGCAAGATAAAATGTATAACTTGGTATTGAAAGAAGACCTTCACAAAATGTCAAGTTTTTAATGTATGCATAGTCCATATAGTATTCAGCGTAGGAATATGACCAATAAAGATTGATTTTTACTGGAAATTTGACCTCATCAATTTTTGTTTTTTGAAATTCTTTTTGATAAATATTGCATACATTCTCTTGAAATTCCAGTTTTTTTATTGAAGTGTTGTAAAAAACCTCTGAGTAATAGCAACTAAATGAAGATGTAATGGAACAAAAATCCATTTTTGAATCTTTAAATGCATAACTTTGAATAGTTTGAAGAGTTTTTGGAAAAGTAATATTTGATAGTGAAGTACATTGTGAAAAAGAATATTCTTCGATAGATATTAAACCAGGATTGAGTGTAATTTTAGTTAAATTCATGCAATTTGAAAAGGCATAACTTTTAATTGTATTAATACTGCCTGAAATTGTAAATTTCTCTAAATTTTTACATTGCGAGAAGGCATATGTTTGAATGTTTGTGATTGAACCTTCGATTTCAATTGATTTTAATCCAGAACCATAAAAAGCATAATCTTCTATTGTTGAAAGACTAGATAAAATAATAACGTAGTATAAGTTATTGGTATTTTGAAAAGATCTAGAGCCGATTGAGTCAACATTTTTGATTGTGACATTAAATATTGAAGATGAACCTTGGAACTTTAATTGGGGTATATATCCGTCTTTAATGAGGTAATTTCCATTTGTGTTTTCATATATTGCTTCTGGCATCTATGACCTAAAATTCTCTGAAACAAATTTTTGACAGATATTGAACATGATTTTGAATTTTATGTTTAAAGTGATTTGTTTTTGAAACTGGAAAAAATTTTTGATACTGTGAAATTTTGATAAAAAAATTCAATTAAATTGAATCATGATCAGATTTGTGTCAGTGAGGTCAGATTGAATCATAATGATTCAAAGAATTGAATTTTTCAAAAATAAAGAATGATTAATATTTTCTCTCAAAATATCAAATCAAAGAAATTGAAAAGAATATTATCGTCTTACAATCAATTCTGCTTAAGTTTAAAAGAGCTCTTTTAGGATCATTTGGTTAAACCAGTCATTAAAATATTTGAAAGTTGAATTCATTAATGACTGGACAATTCCTGGATTTTCATCGAGTTAATGTTATAAGATCAAACAATATGGATGGCCTCAAAATGCACTTTGTGAGTACTTTTCATTCATCTGACAAATCTATAAGTTTTCAATAAAATAAGGATTTTTCATTCTGAACAATCGATCAGATTTTGAATTGTCGGATAAATCTTTCGAAGCAATTCAATTTGACATTTGTGTAAATTCCATAAAAATATTAACGCTGGTAACGTTATAGCATGAATTCGGCCGATTTAATATGTAACATTAGTTTTTTATTGTCCGTTCGAGAAAATTGAATTTCGATTGCTTTCTTTCCTATTAACTCGTACCAATGCAGCTGAGCAATATGAATATCTGTGAACATAATTTTATCATAATTATGTTTAAACGATCCTCTTTTTTAGCTGACCAAATTATTAAAAGCGAATATGTGTTTTATACTGATATTAATAAATAAAATTACCGCTTGTTTCTTTTAAGATATTTTAGCTTTAATAATTTATTTCATTTTGAAAAATTATTTCATTCCAACTATCAAAAGAATTTATCTTGAAAGAATCAAAAAAATAATGAAGTTATGCGTTTTGATTACCAAATCTAATAAAACATACAATTTATTTAATAAGATCATCAAACGTGATTGTTGTTGGAACAGATTTATCGTATTTTTCATGCAACTTTCTTGAAACACTACTGTTAGTATTACATTCTTCAACGAGAAGTTTGTGAGCTTTCTTTAGTGTATCGTCTCGGTATCCATTTGCTCTACTTTCTGTGTCTGGTAGCATAAGAATATCCGAAACAATTTTGAATGCTTTTGGTCTGTCAGAAGAGAAACTTGATGGATTTTTCAAAACTTGAATAAGATATCGAAGTCCATCATCGCATAAGTCTAGTTCTGGCTTGAATGGCATCTCCTGTATAACCAAATTCATTAAAACATTTTGGTTAATTAAGATTCCTTTAACTGGATAAAGCATCATGACAATACAGGCTGCAAATGCAAGTCCTTTTCCTAGATCTTTTCCTTTTCTCGGATGATCATAAATGGCAACAACTTTTTCAACTGAGTTATATAAATCTTGAAGTTGAATTCCGTCAGTTGTTTCCTTAATCATCAAATATAGGATTTCCAGGATACTCTGATGTACTTTTATATACGAAATATCAAGGTTTTGAAGAGATTCATAAAACTTTTCTTGACATTTTTCTGCCAATCTTCTTGGAACAATTTCATTTCGGAAACAAGCTGCTAATGGCCTAACTATCTTCTTCAACTGTTTGTCCGACGCATCAGGAAGCCATTGGGCTAATGTTTTTGCAACAACTAAACATTCGCCGGGATTTTGATCGATAAATATTTCCAAGAAATGGAAAACCGGGAAAGAATGATCAACTGTAACAATAATTGGTGAGCATGGCAGTAAATTATTTGAGATCATATTAATAATATTTGTAAAGGCTGAAGGTTCGAACTCATAGTTCCTTATTAATGATTTGAGTGCTTTAAACATTGCAATGACAACATCTGTATCTTTATCTGTTTCAATAATTGCAATAATTGAAGCGCTCAAATCAGAAAGACATGAAACAGCAACCATCATGTCCAAATGGATAACCATTTCCGATCCTGTAATTGATAAGCGCTTATCAGCGTCATTCATTAAGTAATCCGCTGATTTTGTTATAGGTTCTCGCAAAATGTGTTGTTGTCCTGAGCCAACCATAATAGAAAGCGACTTAGCGATAATTATTTTCTCATCTACAGACAGTTTATCAGATTCCAATGACTTTAATATGACAGGAACGATCTCCGCAATTTTAGATGCGCCTCTAGGTCCAATAAAAGAGGAAATTGAGCATAGAAAGGCTGATATACCACTATAAGCGTGTATTTGGCCTTTTTCTACATAGATTCTAGCGACTTTCAGCTCTGATTTGTAATAATCTTTCACAGTTTCTTCAACGGCATCGATAACAGAAGCCTGGCAGCAGAAAACGTAACCTAACTCAGTATCTGTGATGTTCTGACTCATAATTATTTGATGCAAAAGAGTTGCAAGTTCAAATAATAAATCAAATTGGAAATTTCCTTCATCATCAGGGACTGTATACAATGAAAGTATCGAATATATCCTATTTAAGTTCTTTTGTGGTATTTTTGTCCTGTTTTCTAATATGATTTTCATATAATTTTCATCTAAAAATGAATCTTTTGTCATCATTGGCTTAACTATCGAATCATATGCAATGAAAGAGATCTCATCGTCATCATGGTTCACCAAATTAATGAATTTATTGAATATTTCTTCTGAAATCATGTCATTTCTCTCGGATTTTGAAACAAAATCGGCCAAATGACAGCCAATAAGAATATTCGTGATGTTTCCATTCAGTAGAGATGTTAGTGTTTCATTTACAAGCAATGAACAATCGGAAACTTTAGAAAGTGATGTAAATAAAATCATTAAAACAAGAGCCATTGGTTTTTCGTATGTTTTTCCAACTGCCATGCGGAATTGATCGATTATCTTTTGACTTGATGATTCTAAGAGGTCATCATATGGTGTATATTCGCTGATTATTTCAATTGGTATTGTTTTTCTACTGTCTGTGAATGCAGAAAGGATTTCAATCATGCTAATGCATACTTTTAGAATGTTTTCATCATTGTAAAAAGGTAAAAATTTGAAAATTGGTAACGAAGCTTCATATCTGTGATCAACCTCAATGTGTGAGTCAGCAAAGTTATTTATTATTGCATTTAATGTTTTATTATCACTGTTCCTAAGGTCTTTATTTAATGAATATATCTCTTTTAATAATTTTGCAACAGTATCGAGTTGATCTGGTTGTTTATTAGATTGAAAAATAGTTTTCCATATAGGATCCATGTTAAGCGTTCGTATATTACCGCGCCCAGCTGTTGTTAAAAGATCTGAAAGGTTTTTTATCAAAGGTTCTAAACTCATTCCCAAGAATTGAATGAAAAATAATCGATGTGCACGTTTATAAAAATAAAACTCAATCCTTTGTCTTGGATATTTTCCCACTCCTCAACTAAATGATTGATACAAATAGATGTTTTTTATTTTTTTAAGCTGTATGTTGGTTATGTAATACAAATTATCATATGCGAATAGACTTATGAGGTTGGGACGGAACGTGATTTCTAAGTTGTATGTTTTGATCGCATATCTTGCATTAACAAGGCAGATAAGGAAGATTCAATCAACTCAAAGTTATTTGTAAGAACTGCATTTAATTATATATTGTAACTTACATCTCACATTATATTCTTGTTCATTATCTAGTTCATGATAATATGATTTTAAATCAAAATAAATTGATATGAATAATAATGTTTATTGTATTATTTAAACGTTTTCACCACTTCCAGAATGGTCAGATTCCTTCTTGCAGCAGCAGCACCAAATTAGAACAGCGACAACAACAATAACGACGATAACTATAATAATTATAAGAGCGATTATACCTCCAGAAAGACCTTTATCTGGATCTTCTTTAGTGTATGAGCCTGACTTCAATAAAAATTTATTAGTGTCGGCACTACCAATTGATTCCTTGAGAGCATATGATTTCAATTCAGGTTGGAATTCGACTGTAACTTTCTTTGTTCCTTTTTTACCAATATCTTTAATGTGAACAAAGAAAGGTCCATTCTTTTTATTAAGATCTACTCCACTTGGATCACGTACTTTGATTTCATAGTCAACATTTTTGATATCAAAATCTACAGATGATGGATTTGCGAAGAATACAGCATGATATTTATCTTCAAAGTTACTAGGTGTTTCATATTTTTTAGTATCTAAAACAATTGTCATGTTATTGATGTACTCGAGATGTGTTGTATTGAAAAGAATTACTCTGAGTGTTGGATATATTATTGATGAAATGGTAACCTTTGTTTTAGAATTTGCAACAACAGCTAAAGTATTGTCATCGAAGTATCCATTGCCTGATGATAAATCATCATTATAAGCATACGATCCCATGATATCTTTCATTCCCTGTGTCTTGGCCAAGACTAAGACAGAATTTGCTGGGAGTTCAAATTTGTATGTATAAACACCATCTTGGCCAGAACCATCCTTGAAGGTAAGATCATTTACGCCCCATTTCAATTCTGATGGGAAAGCTGGTCCATTAGGAATAGCATAACCATTAACTGTTTCTTTATAGAATCTTGCTCCTGTGACTGCATCCAAAACATTGAAACCACCACACTGGAAGACACGCTCTGTTAGACCTTTTCCGTCCTTTATTTGCATGAGATAGAGGGTCATCATATCAAGAGGTTCATTTATTCCTTTGACTGTGATGATTGCATATTTGTTTGCAGCAATTTCAAGTGGGAATTTGTCGTCGAGTGTTTTTGGTGTACTTAAATCATCACTAGTCACATATTTAATGTTAGGCTGATTAGAGTTATCAAAGTGATAGATCATGTCATCAATTGTTGGTAAAAGGACTACTATATAAGAGTAAAGTTCAGTAAGTGGACCTTTTATTGGGAGAAGTGGAGCTGGATAGTATCCAATGATAAATTCTGGAATCTCATATGTTTTTTTGAAAGTTGCATAAAAGTAATAAAGTTTGTCAACGGAGCTAGTGCCTTTTTTAATTGTTAATGAATCATATACTATGTTAATTGTTTGGAGACGTTCAAACTCGTTGGAGTTTAAGACAACAAAGTAATTTTGTTTGTCAGATTCTGGAGGAGTAAATGTTAGACCAATAGAATCCATGCCGCGCACGTCAATGGTACCACGGCCAGCTATGATTGCTTGGGAAAGTGAAAAAGATACCAAAGATAAGAACATTCTTTGATAAAATGAAGTGATCGTAAAATATATGACCTCTCAAAATTAATTAAAAAAATTCTATTAAGTAAGAAAAATAGTATTCCGGCATATGCTATGTGGTATTTATGAGAAAATTTGATTTGGCATAACTCTCGATTTTTTTCTTCCAAAAATTTAGACATATTTCCTTGTTGAAAAATAATCCAATTCAAAAGGTAATCATAAATTTAAAAAATATGTATGGAAGGAAAACTTTTACAAATTATATAATTGAATAAACATTCATTTTTTCTGAAGATGCCAATTATCGGTCATCAGCCAATCGTTTAAAAATGATGATAAATGTTCTGTCACAATTATAGTTAATTATAACTCAGAATTATCGATAAGACCAATTTGAGAACTTTACAATTATCAGAAGATGATTATATCATCATACGATAACATTATCGGAATATACTTATAGCAACGATATAAAACAAAAAGTATTATTATTTATGTCTTGATGTTATTTAAAGAAATGGAAGAAATCTATTTCTAATCAGTAGTAGGATAGGATGGGTTTTGTGACTTTTTTTGTAAACGTAAGAATTCATACAATATCGAGCGATTTTGTATCTTTTTTTTAACATATGAAGTAAAAAATGTATGATTCTGACGGTTTTTATTCTTACGTTTTTGAATAAATCAAGATTTAAAAAATTTTCAAAATTGTAAGACATTTACACTCAGCCCATACATAATGAAATAAAAAATATATTTATTTATAAATCATTAAAAAATTAACATTATTTTTAAAATAATTTATTTTTTATCTTTTATAAAAGAAGCTATATATATAGATGATGTCAGATATTCCGCGATTAATTAAACATTGTTTAAATCCTGAATGGGTTAAACTTCAATTTAAAAATGAAGATTGAGTTCAACATAGAACTTTAAGAAACTAATGATTATTTGAATTTATGAAATCAATTATTTGATTCATTCTTTCTTCAATCTCTTCTATTCTTTTTGTTAAATCATCTATTTTCATTAATGAGGTGATTCTTGATTGAGGAATAGATTTCAAACTAACCACTCCTTTTATTTTTGAAATTTTGAATCCATCAACTTTAAACATTTTATTCAATTTACACGTTGTCAATTCTTCAAATAATTTTTTATTATTAGCATAATAGTCATTAAATTCTTCAACAGATGAAAAAATTTTTATTTCAGTAATTGGTTTAACAACGTTTATTTTTTGTTGAACATTTTCACTTTCATTTATTTCTTCCTCTGTTTCATTTATTTTTAAAATCTGTTTCATTTATCATTAAATAAAAATTAGAATATAAGTGATGAAATATATTTTTTTAATTAATATTAAATCAGAAATGGCAGCAGGATTCTTTAAAAAATTATGGGATGGAATTAAGAAAGCTGCGGGTTGGGTTCATAAAAAGATTATTAAACCCATTGCAAACTTTTTGGCACCAGTAGCGAAAACGGCAGGAACTATCATAGGTGGAGTATTAGGTACTAAAGCAGGTAATCCGGCGATGGGAGCACAAGCAGGTAACGCAATTGGTGGAATAGCTGAAGGAATACTTAATAAAATAGGAGGTAGATAGTGGAAAAATAAATTATTTTAAAATTATTTTTATCTTAGTATCGGTTGTAGTCTTTGATAAACTTTTTCTCCTTTATTTAAAACTTCTCTTATTGGGGCAGCTTTTGGCGTTATTGATTCAGCAACGTCACTAATTGCTTCTTTATTCTTAAATATCCAATTTGCTCCCTTCTTCAATGTTTCCCAAACTTTACTCGCTCCTCTTTTTACTTTATCCCACAGTTTCTTAAATATACCTGCAGCCATAGTTGATTATTTCATTAAAATTAAAAATTCATTTCCATCTTTTAATTTTGATTTTTTTATTTATTAATAAATGACGACTAACTATTTAGTGCCAAACACTAAACCGATTAATGGAAATGTATTTCATTCATTCGAAAAGATAAATGAAATATTCGCAAAGAATGACGGTAGAAGATATTATAGAGAACTTGAAAGTTCATGCTATGACTCTGATGCTCCATATTTTGATGATAAACAAACTCATTTAAGAATTACAAACCCAGCTCATGATGTGAACCAATTAGGTGACACATATATTAAACGCAAAGTTAAAGCAACTCTAGTTTCAAATAAAGCTTTCACATGTGATGCCGCTTTTAAATGCATGCGTTTATTCGTTGGTTACAAATCATCAAATCAAAACTTTAAACAATTAGAAGTAGAAACCGAAAGAGGTGATGCCGGTTATCTTCAGATGGATTGCGCCCGTGAATCTTTCGCATTTGCAACATATAAACCAAAATCAGAAAGGAAAGTTAAAAAGTTTGTTCATTCGTTATATAATAATGTTCAAAAATATGATAACTCGGTATGTGGTAAATATATTGACCCTTCAGAAGTTTTCAAGAAAGCAAATGAAGAAGTTGATGTCACTTTTGATATGATTATTCCGGTAAATGATTTGTTAGCATTTCAGGCGTTCGATGATTATCCTAAATCATTTGGTGATATCATTCTTAATATTATGTTTTCAGGGATACTTTAGTATTTTGTCAGGTTGACCCGTTAAGAGTTGCTGATTTACAAAATTACGTTTATGAAAAGATAACTGATGAAAATTATGAAAAGATTATGAATCATGTTTATAAATATGATCGCAAATTCCAACAAATCGGACTTCCTGCCAAATTAATTACAAGCTTAGCCGCTACATCTGCTGACGCAACAGTTGATGACGTTATTATTTCATGCACAAAGATGGAAGTTTTAGAGGATAAATGCATTACACCAGGATACGGTTTAATTGAAGAATCAGTTAAAGCAATACCACGTTTATTTAGTAAGGAAGATCCATTCATGATTCCAGCTCAACATATTGACGTTCGTTCACTAAATGGAGGTTGCATCTCTCCTGAAGGTATCAGCTCAGATTTCTCATACGCCCTTCATAATGTTACAGATGTTGTGTTAACATTTCCGAAGAATGCAATGCAAAGAACGGTTTTAGAAAATCCAATGCTTCGAGGTCTTCAGGTCACTATAGATTCCAGAAACTTCCCCGATCAAGCGATGACCACAGTGGGCGACATATTCTTTACACGTATGCTTCAAGCTTCTGATTTAGATGGAGTGAATGAATGCACAGAAGAATACGAGGACTCATTAACTAGACCACTGAATGATGATGATGGCACGCCATTAGCTAGAACATGGAAAGACCAAACTTCATTCTTATGCACTATTCCAGTTCAACGTGATGGAGCGGGTATATTCTTTGATGGATTAGAAACTTTCAACTCACAAGTTACAGTACAAGTGAAAGCTTATCCAATCATTCAGGGTGAAAATGACACTTACTGTTCAAAGGTGACAAATCCTCCTCAGGTTTGGTTTACTAGGACTACATATTGGACATGGACACCGGACGAAGGTTTGAAATATCATCCAACAGGTACACCACCACAGTATAGAAGTTCATATGATGAAATATTGATGAATAGAAATGTTTAAAATTATAAATTTATTTTTGATTAAATGGATTTAAATTCATCCACCCCTTATGAAGAATTAGCAGGAGTATATAATACATACGTAGATGATATGATTAATGAAGCATTGAGTGATAATAGAAATGCTCTATCTAAGGAAAAATTAATGAAAATTCCATATTCTGAATGTTACTTAAATTCAATCACTGCAGCAATTGGTAAACAAAATAAAGGTAAAACATTAACGATATTAAAACAAATTATCATTATTGCTAACACTTCCCCCTATTCACATGTGTTAATTTATATCAACCGTTCAGGTTCACCTTCAGATGATACATTTGAATCTTTAAAGCATTTAATCAAAATTCCAATTATTTATTTATCACAAGAAGAAGCAGAAGATTATTTAAAAAACTTTTTAATGTATAAAGAATTATATAATACAATCAAGAAGCAAGGATTAGAGGATAAAATTATTGATAAACAACGGGATGAATTATTTGAAACACTTTCTATTTCAAATTTTGATAGAGAATTTTTGCATTCACTCATTTTTCTAGATGATGCAGTGAAATCAAAACTAATAACAAATGAGAAATCATATTTTAATCAGTTATTAACTCAATGTCGACACATTCAGTGTTCATTCTTTATGGCTGTTCAATATTTCAAAGCATTAAGCACAAACATTAAATCAAATCTATCAACACTTTTCATTTTCAGTGGGTTTAGTCGTCAACAGTTGAACGTTATGCTTTATCAAGTGAATTTACCAATGAGCATTAATGAACTTTACACACAACATCAGCAATTAGGTGAACATGGAAAAATAATAGTTGATTTAAATAAAGGAAGTGTTAAATTTGATTAACTTTTTATAATTAATTTTTATTTTTTATTTATCATTAAACATGACAGAAATGGTAAATCTTCTACAGTTTCCATTAAAACAAGGGACAAACAAAAAGGGTGCATATAATAGAACTATGAAAGTTCCTGATGGAATGAAAGAATTAGTTCATATTGTTGCTGGTCTTCAAAAAGATGTTAAACAAATGAGAAATGTTTTAACATTACCAGAAGCTCAAGCATATGCCAAACGTCATGGTCCAAATTGGGAAGCACACGAAGCAGACATTACGGGTCCAAATGGAAAACCTGATGGTATAAATGAAGTTTTCGTTACTGATGGTCAAGGTAATATTAAAGTCATAAATGGTTACAAATTAACTATATCTGATTATCCTAAACGTAAAGCATATAATGAACGTTATCCTATGCAATTTGATGAAAATGGAAAAGCTGTTAAACAATACATTGGAGAAGGTGAAAATGGTCCAATTAATTCATACCGTCCTAATCCATATTCTTATTTCAATGAAGAATTAAATGCTATTGAAGAGGGACCGGATGGATTACCACGATATTCTAACCAGTTTGATGGTCAATATGCAAATATTAGACCTGAAATTTCAGCTAAGAAATTCTTTAAAGTTGCTTTATTCGATCCAGTTTTCGCAAATGTTAAAGATGAACTTAAACAGCAATTCCAACCAATTATAGTAGCAAGAATTGCATCAGGTGCTTTATCTCAAGCATTCAAAGATTTAATTAAGAAACCATTATATCAGCAACGAGGTTTAACTTATGATTTAGTTAAGGAATCAGATAAAAGAAAATTTGAGAAATCAGATGATTATAAGAATGCAATTAATGAATATATTAGGTCTATTAATTACGATGAAACAGCTAAAAATCAACTTCATGAACAAATACAGGGAATAATAGATTCAAAAGTTCCAGCAAAATAAAAGTTTAAATATATTTTTTTATTCGATTATAAATGAGAAGACGTTTCACTAGTCAAAAGAACACTAACGCAAAAGCAGAGATTATGGTTGGTTATAACGTAAATGATGATAAATCACGAATTATTCAAAATGTTAAAGTTAATGTTAGCCCCGAATTAACAAGGTCAGCAACTCAACCAAATTTATTAACTCGTGACTTACCGAAAAAGGAGGAGGAGGAGCAAAATAAAGAAGATGGAGACCCAATCATTTTATCTGAACCCGGTAAAGAACCTGTTGAAATTCCCACTTATCCAACATACCCCCCGCCTCTTTCATCAAACATCGAGAACCCATATAAAATAGACATTAATTCTGAATTAATGAAAATTTACCGTGATATAATAATTAATAAGTATGATTCAATAATAAATTTAATTGATCAATCCGATTTAATTATTTTACCTTATGAATCATTAATTCACATTATCGCCATTCTTTGTGATGTTCAAGATTCAGACGTTAAGATTCAATTTTTCATAGATGATGAGGTTTCATGCTGCGGAACAGTTGCAAAAATAAATCCTATAAAGGATATTAGCACAATTAAGATATCAAAGAACGGAACAACAACTGAACTTCATTTAACATATAATGATATTTATAATAAAATAGTTGATGAATATAAAATATCACTTGAAAAATTCTTTGTTAAGGCTATTTAATATTCAAGCATTAACATTATCGAATAATAATCCTTTGAATCATAATCAATAATAATTGACCTTTCACCAGTTTCTATCGTTTGTTTTATTTCTTTTTGTTCCCCACTATCCGGATCGGTCATTGTAATTGTTTTTGTTATAGTATCTGCTTTATCTTTAACTTCAATCTTTTTTCCATCGGGATATTTAAACCAAAATTCCAAAAATTCGATATTGTCAATCTGTTCATATTTTAATCTATCAATTACATTTTTAATACCATCTGAAAATCTTATGAAATGGTCATTATATGGGTTTGATTGAACTAAATTTGAATGAAGTGAAATATAACCTGTTGATGAATATGACACTGACTCATATTTTCTGAAAACACTAAAATTTATAACATGAATGAATTTCTTATTCGTTGAATTTATGAATTCTTGAGGTAATCTTATTCTAGTTTTATTTATCACTGGAAAATAACGCTTTACCATATTTTTAATCGTAATAAAAATGTCAATTATCAATATTATTTCGAATAATAGCTGTGAATTAAATTTAACAGTTAGCGGAATTTATAATGTTACTCTCGTTTCTGTGAGTGGTAAATTTAATCCCATTCTTTTAGACCCTTCAGATTATATATCATTTATTAAAGATGACCTTGAAAAAACGTATGATATGTATATAAATAATGTGATAGCGAAATGGGATATTAACATGATTTTAAGTTATTTAAATGAATCATTTATCGTATGGTATGAAGAAAATTTTAAATCAAAACCTGATAAACTTTTTGAACTTGATGAAATAAATAACCTTATTAAATTCCCGCTGAAAATTAAATTTTGTACTCCTCATCTTCGTTCATTGTTGGGGATATTAAATTTTGAAAAAGATGTTGGGGATGTTTTGTATTCTGACACTGGTTCCAATTTCATTTTAATCAAATGTGATAAAGTTAATACCCCAATGAGATTTTCACATCAAACATTAGACCCTAACTCTTACCCATCAATACAAAACATTTTATCCATCAACTTAAACACATTTTCTTTATCATATCCGTTTCAATTATCCGGGAATTCATTTATTCTTCATTCAAAAGATTTATCAAATATTAAATTTAGAATAACTGACCTATTTGATTGTGATTTAGAATTTATGAATGAAATATTATGGCAATTTCAAATAGAGAAAATAGCTGATGAGATAACGGATTAAATATTTATTTTTAAATCATAATAAATGATTAAACAACAGCAACCACAACAACTTAAGGCGCAAAGCGCCCAGGTCCTTCAGACCATTACATACGCCATATATGCATATAATTCAAAGACGGCAGAACAAACGCAAAGGTTGAAATATGGAGATTTGGAGATAGTATTGAAAAATGACCGCTTCGAATTCGTTTGCAAAGGTGGTGCAGTGATATCAAATATAAAAGAAATTTTATTTATGAATTCTAAAATTAAAGGAATAACGGATGATATAACATCAATTCCACCAGAAGAACAGAGATATTACGCATTAAATGCATTTCCTAAAGTTTTGAAGATTGGAAGATTTAATTTAAATGAGGAATTCATAGAAGGTTTCCTAAACGACATAATGAAGAAGGTGGATAAGGAATATGTGGATAGTGAGTTAGAGAAGAAAGCAGATAAGGAATACGTTAATACTGAATTAAATAAGAATTTTTTATTTATGTTGTCAAAATGTCATGTTGTCATCATTTTTAAGAGAAGTTAATTGACATGGTAGCACATGGTAACATGGTAGCACTGAAAAAATTAAATTTGGATTGAGTTTAAAAATTCATCTTTATTAAATTCATCTCTTCCAATCAATTTATTTATTCTATTAAATTCTTTTATTTTTGCTTCACTCAGTTTAAGGATTGAACGGTAAGTTTCTAATTTTTCGATTATTTCTTTCCTCTCTTTATCGTTTTCAATTACTTTAGTTTTATGGGCATCAGCCCCGCCGCATTGCGGCTTCTTTTTGTAATAGCATATTTTTGATTTAATTCTGTTTAGTTTCTTTTTATATTCATCGTCTGGACTCTGAATCTTAATTGAATCAGGACTCTTGGATGCTTTGTTGTCACTCATTTCTTACGAAATAAAAAAATTAAATATTATTTAAATATAATGGAGTAATAAAATAAATCGGAATTTCTGTTAATTTATTGTTAACCTCAACTAATACATTACCGTTAATATATCTAACAAATTCAGCTATTGTGTCAAATCTTCGTCTTCTTTTTGTCATTGATTTATCAGTTTTTCCATAATCGAGATGAATCAAAACTTTATCCCCTTGTTTAAAATTCATGAGCCCTGAATTAATTTGTTCACGTTTAACATCATTTAACCTTTCCATTTGCTTTCTAATATATCCCCATTCTTTTGAAATATCATTTTTCATTTCCACTGGTTTCATGTTTATAGTTCTATGCCATGTATTATTGTAATAATATACTAACTGCTGTATGACGGAGTCATGATTTCCATCCCAGTATATCTGGCCGTTAACCCCTAACGCATCTCTAAGAGTTCTCATTACCGCATCAACTATTTTATTATGAAACGTATATGGAGAGGATGAAAAGAAAAAATTAATTTGTGGGAAATAATGAGCCATAGCTGCCTGAAATCCTTTATCACCATCACCCCTTATATTATCTACTCTTTCATGATCTAGTAAGTATTGTATAGCTCTTCTTGTTTCCTGTTCTGTTTTCCCTTTCACTGGAATGCAATATAAATATCTGGTGTTAATGTTAATGGCGAATAAATAAGTAACGTTTCCTTTTGAATATTCCAGATGATCGATTTCATATGAATATGGATATGGAGCAAATGAAGGGCGACTAAATTTTTCCTTTAACGGTTGAATTTTCGGGTCAATTGGTTTATTTAATATCTTGAAATCCTTTTTAAAATCTTTTTGCTTCTTTAATGTTTGAAATGGATATAATAAAGTGAATGATGAAGGATTAACTGAAGGAGGAGGAGGTACTGTCGTTGGAGGTTTTGGTGTTGTAAGTGGTTTAATTTTATCTGCTTTGATTTTGGATGATGAAGTTTTGGATTTCATTCCTCCCTTCATTAATTCTGGATGTATTCTATTCATTTGTTTTAAATATACTGTATATAAAGGTTTGATATACTTTCCCGCTTCGAGTTTATGTTGAAGGATGAATTCCAAAAGTTGATCTTCATTTAAAAGTCGGGCTGAATATGGTTTAACTAATGAGTCATAAATTAAAGCTTGTGCATCATTTATGGTCTGAAGGACCTGGGCGTTTTGCACCTTTTGTTTTTGTTCCTTTGGCTTTTGCGGCTCAGGATTATATAATTTATATAATTCATCAATATCTTCTTCTGTTAATACTTTATTTTTGAAATCTTTCAACTGTTTAAGTTGTGATTTAGTTTTTCCCTTTGTATATTCATTATTTTTAATTTTGTCTTTAATTTTAGAAATTATTTTATCATGATATTTCAAAATTTCATTTTTATAATACGGATAATAATAATCCATATCATCACCCGTTATATTGTTATTATGTTTTTGGAGATATGATTTTAATTCATAATAAGTAAGAAAATTTTGATAAAGTACTAAATCATCAATTAAATTTTCTAAATCTGTGTTATCCATTTATATAAAAATAAAATAAATGTTTAAGGGTGCCCACCTCTTTGAATCATAGTATCAAAACCATTATTTACATATTGAATCGCATCATTAACGGTTCCTTTTGTCTCTTCTGTGGCATTTTATTAAAAATAAAATTTTAAATTGTATAGGGTGTCCAAAGGTGCGTTTAGCACAGCGCTCTATATGAGACTATTAAAGGAGATATATGCTGATTATAAATATATAATAAAAAATATGAATATATGTATATGATGAGTATGTTGTATTTTGGCGCCATGCCGGGATATAAAATGAATTTTGAGACAAGAGGCGGTTTCGCGGGAAATTTTGGCGGGATTTTTTTCATTTTTTTAATGAATCATAAAGAAAACATCCTCGCTCTTGCAAAAAAATGCAAAGACTGTAAAAAATCTACGAGACATTGGTAAAATGCTTCGGTATGGATGCTCCTAGCTATTCCACTGTAACGTATCATGTTAGGATGTATCACTTCATGAACAAAAAGGCGCCCATCATAAAAATTGACAAAAAATCGCCGGATCAAAGAAAAATCAAAGCAATTCTTCAAGCGCTAGATGAAGACCCAAGAGCATCACTCAGAAGGATAGAGGAGATGACAAAGATACCACGTACAACAGTCAGTTATTATCTGCACAATTATTTGAACTACAAACTAGCGTATACACGTTGGGTTCCGCACAACCTTAATTCAGTTCAAAAAAATCTAGAGTCCAATCTTCGAAAGAGCTCCTCTCTATATTGGGTGCGTATCAATCCAAGAAGTTTCGCTTTTTAGTAACAGGGGACGAGTCTTGGTTTCAATATGCAACAGAAGCCAAAATCATGTGGATCCCGAAGGATGAAAATCCGCAAACATTCCCGAAGAAAAAAATTGACACACCAATGATGATGTTGTCGGTTTTTTGGGGCGTGAATGGCATCATCGCAATTGATATTCTTCAAAAACCTAATACGATGAATGCTCAGTATCTAATTGACAATGTTTTTACTCAAATTATCAATTCTGATGAGTTTGAGAAATCCAAACAACAAAAACAAAAGTTTGCAATTCATTTTGATAATTCAAGAGTTCACAAAAGTCATAAGGTAATGAATTACTTGGTGGAAAACAATGTCAAAGTTGTTCCAAACCCAATTTATTCACCTGATATTGCACCCTCTGACTTTTATTTATTCGGCACGCTAAAAAAGAGAGCTGAAGGACGCGAATTCGCGAGTCCAGATGATCTTGAAAATTTTGTAAGAGAGCAATTTGAGCAATTTTCTCATGATGATTTAAAGCGTGTCTTTCAAGCCCGGATCGATCGCTGCGAATGCGTGATTGAATCCAATGGTGATTATATTTAAATAAACTTTATATATATGTAACTTGTTTATTTCTATTCGCAGTATTCAGGTTTGTGCTAAACACACCTTTGGACACCCTATATTAAATAAATGGCATACAACATCCATTTTCACAACATACAGCCTTAGTGTGTGCTCCTGTTAATGCAGTCTTACCGATTGTTAAGCGAGTCATTGACCCGTTTTTAAGTTGTAAATTAATATTCTGACCATCAAATATCACTTTATCATTTATTATATCCAAATAATTTTTAGGTGTTAATTGTTTATTTTGTCGTAAACTAACACCTTTCATTTTTTGTGCAATCTTTTTAAAATCACTTCCATCAATTGAACCGTTGAATGATGTATAACACTTAGGATATAAAGCAACCATGTTATCACCTTGTTTCTCAATTGCTAAACCCAATAACTTCTTCTCATGTGCTTTTTCTTCAGCTTTATTCTTTAATTTAGGTTTAAATTTCTCATCAAAACAGAAGAAATCAAATGGTGCGAATTTGAAAATGTTTTTATCATAAAATTTTTTATCGGTTACAATTGCTTGAAATGCTTGAGTGTTAGGAAGACTTGGATCGCCAGCAATAGCCCAATAAGATGAATCAGTATCACCTTCAATGAAATGAAAACGATTAACATCCATGCATTTATACATAAAATCATAAATGAAAACCAAATACCAGTATTTAGCATTATCTAAAGTGAAGAATGCCTCTTGTAAACATGTATCACATCTATAAAATCTATCTTTGAGCATCACTTGATACGTATCCTCTCCTATTTCTCTTATGTTTTTAAACTTATTTGACATACATGCAACGCGTGCCTTCTGTGCATTCATTATTTTAGTCTTTGCGTAATTTTGTGTATTCATTGCATCGTAACCATATGATCCATTAAGTGAAATCTTGCAAAATAAACTTTTTCCTTTATTTCCTTCTAATTCAGCCTTTTGTCTTTCGTTCATAAATTCGTTCGCAAATTCATTAAAACAAGTGTTTTTCGTAAATGTTAAAATTGATTGAATATCATCGATGATAAAATGAAATCTGTCTATTAGATACCAAAGATAATAAGAAGAAAATGGTTGATATTGGTTGTATGTTGATGCTAACTGAGTTAATTTCCTCTGTTTCTGGTCAACCGGTAGATTGTTTGATTTCATGTAATTATACATAAAACTGCCAATTGTTTTTTCATCTGTGATAATATCTAAGTTTCTTATTATCGGTAAAAAGTTTATGTAATCATTAATGTATTTTTCATCAATGTGACCCTTTACTTCAGCCACGAATAAAGTATTTTTCTTCTTAATTATTCCCAGTGCTTTTGCTTTCTTTGTTGCTGTATCACAAATGATAACACCATTCAATCTTCCCGGCATATACATTTTATGGTCAGTATATTGAATGAAATCATGAGGATTAGATGAAAATGATGAAGGATATAATGAATTAAAATCAACACCAACGAAATGAGTCATAATGTTGGTGGTGTCCTCATTTGATACAGTTTTAGTTTCTGGATTATATGCAAGTTTATTAATGTGCGTGATTCCTTTAAGATTTACTCTATGTTGAACATTTGATAAACCACCAGTAATTCCATTACGGAGAATGTGATAAGCTTCAACTGAATCTAAAGTCATTGGTAAATTATTTTTTAATGCATAATTTCTTAAATTGATTCTTAAACGTTGAACATCTTCATCTTTATTTGATTTTACGACATTGCAATAACAACACATTAACTGACAATTTTCTTTGGTATGTGGTTTTTCATTATCGATTCTATCCAATGTTGGTTTATTTGCATATGTAAACGCTTTACCACACATTTTGCATTTAGATGAAAGGATTAAATCGTGATAGTATTGAAAATCATCCATTGAAACATTATTTTTAGTATCTCTTTCTGCTTTTTCATCTTGTTTCTTATATGATTCAATTTTATATTTCCAATACTTTTTCGTTAATTCAAAACTTGATTCTATCTCTTCCTCAGGATATTTTTCATTAGGATTAAAGTCTTTATATGCTAAAGCGTAACGAATCATTGAAGCATTCGATGATAAAGAAAGATTATGAAGCGTGTCAATTTTATAAACAAATGTTTCTTCAATAATTTTATCGATTGGGTCAATCATAATTTCAACATCTTTATTGCAATAATATAGGGTGTCCAAAGGTGTGTTTAGCACAAACCTGAATACTACGAATAGAAATAAACAAGTTACATATATATAAAGTTTATTTAAATATAATCACCATTGGATTCAATCACGCATTCGCAGCGATCGATCCGGGCTTGAAAGACACGCTTTAAATCATCATGAGAAAATTGCTCAAATTGCTCTCTTACAAAATTTTCAAGATCATCTGGACTCGCGAATTCGCGTCCTTCAGCTCTCTTTTTTAGCGTGCCGAATAAATAAAAGTCAGAGGGTGCAATATCAGGTGAATAAATTGGGTTTGGAACAACTTTGACATTGTTTTCCACCAAGTAATTCATTACCTTATGACTTTTGTGAACTCTTGAATTATCAAAATGAATTGCAAACTTTTGTTTTTGTTGTTTGGATTTCTCAAACTCATCAGAATTGATAATTTGAGTAAGAACATTGTCAATTAGATACTGAGCATTCATCGTATTAGGTTTTTGAAGAATATCAATTGCGATGATGCCATTCACGCCCCAAAAAACCGACAACATCATCATTGGTGTGTCAATTTTTTTCTTCGGGAATGTTTGCGGATTTTCATCCTTCGGGATCCACATGATTTTGGCTTCTGTTGCATATTGAAACCAAGACTCGTCCCCTGTTACTAAAAAGCGAAACTTCTTGGATTGATACGCACCCAATATAGAGAGGAGCTCTTTCGAAGATTGGACTCTAGATTTTTTTGAACTGAATTAAGGTTGTGCGGAACCCAACGTGTATACGCTAGTTTGTAGTTCAAATAATTGTGCAGATAATAACTGACTGTTGTACGTGGTATCTTTTGTCATCTCCTCTATCCTTCTGAGTGATGCTCTTGGGTCTTCATCTAGCGCTTGAAGAATTGCTTTGATTTTTCTTTGATCGGCGATTTTTTGTCAATTTTTATGATGGGCGCCTTTTTGTTCATGAAGTGATACATCCTAACATGATACGTTACAGTGGAATAGCTAGGAGCATCCATACCGAAGCATTTTACCAATGTCTCGTAGATTTTTTACAGTCTTTGCATTTTTTTGCAAGAGCGAGGATGTTTTCTTTATGATTCATTAAAAAAATGAAAAAAATCCCGCCAAAATTTCCCGCGAAACCGCCTCTTGTCTCAAAATTCATTTTATATCCCGGCATGGCGCCAAAATACAACATACTCATCATATACATATATTCATATTTTTTATTATATATTTATAATCAGCATATATCTCCTTTAATAGTCTCATATAGAGCGCTGTGCTAAACGCACCTTTGGACACCCTATATCATTAGTTTGATCGAAATAAACTAAAAATGATTCAAGATTTTTCCCATCAATTAATGAATAAATGATGATTCCAAATAACTATAAACTGAATAAAATGAATCTTTCGTGAATGGTTCCTCTTTATATAATTCTTCTTCGTAATTTTCCCATGTGATGAATTGATAAGGGAAAAAGGATTTAACACGTGATTTATTGTTTCCGAAATCTTGAGTGAATTGGTCTAATGTCCCACCCGCTATATAATTTCTGATGTCAATAAATCTTAATTCATATGGAACGTTTGTTTTCTTTACAATGACTTGCTTAAATTGAGAAGATGAACCCAGCATTGATTTTATTTTCCATTTTGCAGTGTTTAAATCACGAAGAATTAAATTTAAATCAAACTTTCCCGAATTAAAACCTATGATATTCACTTTATTGAATTCCTCATCTAGAAGTTCTTTAAATGCTTCCTTCTTTTTCATTTAATGTATGGGACAAAGTCCCCGCCGTTTGCGACTTCAATAATTCTTCATATTGTTCAATATTTGATTTAGCAACTAATGAACAGGTTGAAAATAAAAACTCAATCCAATCAGAAATAAAAGAATCACTCGAAGTTAAGCAAAAATTCCTCGTATATGTTTTATCGTTTAATTTAACCGTTGATGATACCATGAATGGTTTTAAGTAAGCGTTCAAAGTTGCACACTCAGAAAGTTGTAATTCTTCTTTAGTCTCTAATGTTTCAAAGTCAAAAGTAATATAATATCTTGTCGGTTTATAATATTTCTGCAAATTGTGAGCTAATAACCACTGATATATCTTCTGTTTCGTAATATGTGGTGCATATGGTTGCTGGGTCTTTTGCAATTGAACGTCTTGAATTAATCTTCCATTATTTTCTTTACATTTCTCACAATGCTTTAAAAATCTTCTTTGGTTTTTCCTTTCTGGATCATCACGGATAGAATAAACTTCTTCTTTACAATATGGACAAACTTTATAGCCGGTGAGTGCGTCAACGTCTGTTATTCTGTCAGCGTGAAGTTTTCCACATGGACTCTGTGTTAATAAAATATTTACTGTTTCAAATTCTGGATCTATCATTATTGATTCCACTAATGGAAAGTCTACCTTATTTATGTCCACGTCTTCTGGTTGAGGATCACAATAATAGAAATCAATATTAACATTTAACATTCTCGCTAATCTCTCACTTTCTGATGAAATGTCAAACCCTTCATATGCATCTATTGCTTCATTTAAATAGCTTCTACGAGTTTTAGGATTAACACCATCAGGAATGTTATAGAAGCGTTTAAATAACCTTTTACCTTCTGCTCTAATTTGATTATCATTCATTTTAGCTGTTCCGTTTTTGTTCATTTATGTAAGAATAAAAAATTAAAAAATAAATAAAAATAAAGTTTATTTTTTAAAGTCCGTAAAATGAATTAAGAACACATAAATTTTTATCATCTGCAACGTGACGGATACATTTTAATTTACTCAAGAATACGTACCCTGATACATTAAATCTAATTCCTGTCTTATTTAATTTCACAACTTTGAAAAGGAATGTATGAATAGCTATAAAATGATGAGAAGATGTTTTATGGGTTGCTTCCATTTTTTCTGAAATAAATGAATAAATATAATGCTTATACGTTTTCATATCTTTTATATTCTTAATAACGAATGGTATAGACATTTCAACTTCGTCTTCCTTCGGTGCTGTTCTTTCATATGAAACATTATTGGTATCTTCAATAATGAAACCACAATCACACAAAATTTTATAGGTTCCAATGGTTTCTTTTGATATTTTATCTAATAATTCAAAAACTTTATCAACACCCGTGCATTTATTTAAATAATAATTTGTGTAAATATCATGATCTTCTTTCTTAATCGTATTAGTTGCATATGTCACGTTTTTAAGAGCTTTTTTGAATTTTCGGAATCTAAAGGTGGTGAAAGTAAGATACAGGGGTATTCTTCATTATCAATAAATTGTAACTTATGTTTACGAATAAATTTAGTACCTTCTTCTGAAAGTGTTTCGTCTATTTCACCATCTAATAAATTTTGTGTTGATTCTGAGACATAATTTTTATATCTTTCTTCATGAGATTTCTGAACTTCTGATTCTGAAGCTGGGATATTCATTAAACCCTCTACTTCATTTTCATTATATTTTTCAACTTCTCTTAATTCCTTAATTTTTTCATCTATTTCATCTCTTATTTTTTCCAGTCTTTCAATTTCATTGTATTCATCATCTTTAATTCGTTCTTCATAATATTCAGGGAAAACATCAGGTTCTTTAGGTTTTTCTTCTTCAGATGTAGGATATAAGAAATTTATAACATCATCTTTATTCATTTTCCATCATAATCTAAATCATTTAATAACTCGGCAAATTTTTGACAATTTCTTAAATAATATTTATTAACTTCATAACCCGCCTCCTCTAATATATCCTTTATTTCCTCGTTTGTGAATCCTAATTTTTTAACGTTGTTAGTTTTGACGCTCATTTCATACAAAATAAAAAATAAATTATTCAAAAATGTAAGACATGAATTTTTAATTTCTTTGATTATGACTCCATTGATTCCATTCAGGATTTAAACAATGTTTAATTAATCGCGGAATATCTGACATCATCTATATATATAGCTTCTTTTATAAAAGATGAAATAAATTATTTTAAAAATAATGTTAATTTTTTAATGATTTATAAATAAATATATTTTTTATTTCATTATGTATGGGCTGAGTGTAAATGTCTTACAATTTTGAAAATTTTTTAAATCTTGATTTATTCAAAAACGTAAGAATAAAAACCGTCAGAATCATACATTTTTTACTTCATATGTTAAAAAAAATGATACAAAATCGCTCGATATTGTATGAATTCTTACGTTTACAAAAAAAGTCACAAAACCCATCCTATCCTACTACTCTAATCAAATGATGAAAATGGAAGAAACTTTACATGCGAATATAATCAATCTTTGTATTATAAACATTTTATTAGAAAAAATAACAAAATAATCTATAACTCTATTATCTTAAATAATGGAATACATCGATATGAGGGAATTTCTTATTCTTAATTGCGTAGAAAGCTATATCAAGTGCTTCCAAAGCTTCAGTCTGATTAACAACGCCGCTTTCCCATACGTAGTGGCGCATCTTTGGACTTGTCAATATGATTTGGAACTGTTGGAAAACATATATTTCCAAAGTTATTGCGTAATTGAACAGGTCAGAACAACCATTCTGTATCACACATTGTTCTGGGCGCATGAACATTACGTTCATTAAGTTACTGCCTGCTGCACTAACAACAATTTTTAGTTCGGACCAGAATTTTCCGGCTGCTTCAAAGGAATCAAATGAATCTGGAATTTTTATGATTTCTTCTTTGGGATATTTCGTCTTCGCGATTTCCATGATATCAAAAATGTTTGAGACAATTCTTCTGCCGTCGGTGCGTTTGTGGAAACCTACATACTTAGGAACAGCGTTTGTAACATTGCAATGTTCTTGAAATACTCTTGATAATCGATATAAAGGAGGTCCTGACCATCCACCATGTGCACGAGGGTCCCAGCACGTGTAGAGGTTGGTGGCGAATACGTATTGGTCGCGTTCTAGTGCAATAATTGGTCCTTCAATGCCAATTATTCGTAGAAGATGAGAATATTTCATACTTCCGGGAGTAAGTACGACAACGGATCGTTTTCTGATATCCAATGGTATACAAAGCATTGGAGACATGACATCCATGATGAAATGGCCGTAAACATCGATTTCAACAAAGCCAATTCCAATTACATCTGTATAATGGTTAAGAACTGGGCCATGACAGGCGCCATATCTGTAGTAGTGATTTCTATCCTTCTTTTTCATGAGAACGCCGTATCTGTCTACAATTGTATTAATACCTGAGACATAAACACCTTTAAATCTAACAATCTTACCTGTATGACGCTTTAACTGGTTCATGTCATCAGAATTTGATGTAAATGCTGCTTTGTTATTACGATTTATTTTTGTATTTTCTCCATATAATAATAAATGGTTTGGTTCATACGTTGTTGACTTGTTATCTAAAGTCAAAATAGTTTCGTAGGAGTAAAATTTTGTATAGAGGCCGTAGCGATATTTAATATATGCAAATCGACGAACTTCAAATAAATCTATACGTATACGAGCAAATAAAGGTTTAATTGCAAGTGTGGCAAGGATAATGAGCATTGATACAAAGCTAATTAAGCCTTTCGTTCTGGACAACATCAAGCTGACATTTTGAAAGGTTCGTTTTTTCCCCTTACTAAATTATCAACGAAAGAACTCCTTATATATGCTTCATTTCAACTTCTAACTTGATAAGTTAGATGGAACTCTGATAAAACAATAATATTTCCTATTAGTTCATAAGAATTATAAAGTTTGTTGTTGAGATAAAATCAAATCAATCATTTCGTCAGTTCAAATTTAAATTCCTGACATTATTTATAGATATATTATTCTAATTGTTTTGTATTAAAAATTAACTCTGATTCTTTCATTTTTTTGATTTGTTTTTACTTTTTTGATTCATAATGAATTTCGCTTCACTATTACAATCAATCAAACCTGATAATGATGATCTGGATTCCGCTTTACAATCGTTAATTGATAACAAATCGACTCTAATGCAAAATCTTCAAGAATTTATCCCTTATATTTCAATGAATGATTGGATATTAATCCTTCAAAATGATAGATCAAGATCGATACAGCTTCAGATACTAATTTTAATTGATATTTTTGTAAATTCGGCTCAAATCGATATGGAATCATTGGAAGATAATGAAACATTAGCATTATTGTTTTCATTTTGTTCATTGTATGGGCCTCTAAGAATAAATGCACTATCAATATTTTATAATTTGTCACAAAAAAGCGATTTTGTAATAAATTTTCTAATACAGAGCAATATATTTGATTTTGCTTTGCAAAATCCCATTTCATACAAAACTTTATTAATAATAGGCAACATAATACGCTCGGATTCCTTTGATTTTCGGTTATATTCAAATCAAATTCTAGAAATCATCAAATCATGCTTAAATTCCACACCGCAAAACATTTCAAAAGCCCTTGACTTGGTCGATTTAATACTTAAAAAAGATATGTCGGCAATAGATTTTTCATTTTTGGACCTTTTATCTTTTGCTGAATCGCCAAATCGAGAGGTCCTGGTTTCTTTGTGTCATGTTCTTGAGAACTATGAAGATTTAGATATTAAATTCTTTTATACTCTTTTGGTAGCGTCTTCCAAAAATATTTTGCCAGATGAGAATTTTTTAGAAGTTATATCACGCAATAGTCAATGGTACATCAGTGCAAGAGATGATATCATTAAATATTTGCAGGAAAATATCGCAAAAATGCACTATAAAGAAAGTGATATCGCTTTGAAAGTTTTTAAGGAATGTCTTCAGGATGTCAATGACTGTAGTCCAACTATTCTTGATTCTATAACTAAAATGGCTGCGGATAATAATTCAAATCAAATTTGTTTGGAGATTTTAATTTCTCTTATTAGATCGGTTAGAAAAGTCGATGAAATTGTTGGATTAAGTGATGCAATAGAAAATATTGTTCCTTTTGCTGAAGAAATGCTTCAAAGCCCAGAATTAAGTGTTTCTGAGACGGCAACCCAATTTTTTGCTTTAATCAATGCTAATTCTTCTCAGTCGCCTTAGTTGAATTCTTTTTTTATTGATAAGATTCTTATCATTTAGGATTTTATAAATTATCCAGCAAAAGCCAGTGAAACTCAGCTTATGTATATCTTGCAGGACTGGATATTTTTATTTCTGCCTTCATTTTATTCGTTTGTTTGTTTATTAACATAGTTTTCGAGAAATAAAAAAAATTATTTAGTAATAGATTTATTCAATCTTAATTTAACTATGTTAAAAAATTATGTGTGTATTTTTGGGGAAAAAATTGGAAGGATACTATTGGTAATTTCATTTTATTTTTTTTCTAATATTAAATTAGCAGCAAGGTTGCTCGCCTTCGGCGTTAACCTGGGCCTTTGTAACATCGACAACATGTTCATCCGATGGAACAACAACTTTACTATAGACATGTTCTGTGATTGCTTGGAATAACTCTTCAATGCCAACGCCAGTCATTGCAGAAACCCAGATGCACTCGCAGCCTAATCTGGAAGCAAATTCTGATGTCTCCTCAACTGAGAAACAGACGCTTGATTCAAGATCAGACTTATTAGCTGCAATAACAACGAAATTATCATCGGAGTTGGAACGGAATGTATCAATCCAAGATTCTAAAGACTGGAGAGTTTCCTTACGAGTAAGATCGAAAACAGCGATTGCAGCATTTGACTTACGATAATAGATTGGACCAAGTGCTTTATATCTCTCTTGGCCTGCAGTATCCCAAATCTGAAATGAAACTTTACGGTTATTGAAAACAACTTCTTGAGTATGGAAAACTGCACCGATTGTACTTTTCTGCTCTTGAGAACATTGGCCACGAAGATATTTCTGAATAATGGATGTTTTGCCGACCTGTGTATCTCCGACAAGTACGATACGGCCGAGAATGGGTTCGGATTCGCTCTGCATTATATAGTTTTTGTCAGAATCTAATCAAATATGAAGTGAAATTTTTTAGGCTAATATTTTAGGTTTATTTGTACTCAGATAGAAACATATTAATATTTCAAACTTTTTCAAGAAGGTCTTCGATATCGGGCAAACCCAAATTTTAGCTAAAAGTGACAGGGGAAAAAAACGTTTAGTATTAAAAAAAAGACCGATGAGAGCTTCGTTCGAAATATAGAGGGAACTGAGAATGCGCAACCATTCTCAGGGAATATTGGATGCTATTCCCGTTCCCTCTGTATGGAAAATTGAGGTTTTCAAAGGGAGTTAAAATAATATCAAATTTATACTAATTTACTTCAAAATACAAAAGTATTTGACAGCTAAAATTAGTTACTTTAGCAAGCCTATCAATACCCTTTTACGATTATTGCTACTTTTTCGAAATAAAAGTAAAAACAAATTTATACTAATTTACTTCAAAATACAAAAGTATTTGACAGCTAAAATTAGTTACTTTAGCAAGCCTATCAATACCCTTTTACGATTATTGCTACTTTTTCGAAATAAAAGTAAAAACAAATTTATACTAATTTACTTCAAAATACAAAAGTATTTGACAGCTAAAATTAGTTACTTTTGCAAGCCTATCAATACCCTTTTACGATTATTGCTACTTTTTCGAAATAAAAGTAAAAACAAATTTATACTAATTTACTTCAAAATACAAAAGTATTTGACAGCTAAAATTAGTTACTTTAGTAAGCCTATCAATACCCTTTTACGATTATTGCTACTTTTTCGAAATAAAATAAATTTATTATCAAAAACCTTTTTTTTCTTAGTAAAAATAAACGAAATTTTTTACCTTATGAACTTTTGATGGAAATATGCAAATTTAAAATAATAAAGAAAGCCGCGAGCGAAGCGATCGGCTTAGTTCGAAGATTTTGATTCAAATCTTTGCTGATCTGTAATTCGCGGAAGCCGCGAGCGAATCGAGCGGCTTAGGTCTAAGATTTTGATTCAAATCTTTGCTTATATTCCTTAAATTCTTTATGAAACTCGCAACAGTTCCATAAAAAATTTTAAATTCTAAACTGTCGAAATTACCGATCGGTAATCACACTCTTCATAGGTGTGTCACTTTTTACGGGCGTGTCACTTTTAGCTAAAATTACCCCTACTCTTCGATATCGTCGTCCGAAATTAAAGTTATCAGATCAAAATTTATAGAACTTCTATCATATAATACAATCTGAGTAATAATAAATTGAGAAACTGAAGGCGGTTTTCCTATAAAAAATTTAAAAATAACTCGAATATTGTAATACTTAATTTCATCAATATAATTGTGTTGGATCTTATAAAAATTGAGAGGATAGTATGAAATTGTCAAAATAGCGGATCTTAATTTGAAGGATAGAAAATATTTAAATAAAGTTAACTAAAAAAGACCAAAAAAACAAACGCAATATTAATAAAATTACATTCGAGTTCGATGAACAAATCGATCAAAAGAAAAAGTCAAACTCGTTATTGAAATCTTGGATTGGCATCATTTCTTCAATGAAGTTATTGTAATCCGGTATAGTAAACTGTTCATCCGGGGTAGGAGTCTCGTATGCAGATGTAGGTGCTGATGACATAACTTGAGAATATGGAGATTCTTCAACAACTTGTGCTTCCTTGATAGAAACTGACTCGATTTTTGCCTTTGATTTAATCTTTTCAATATTATCACCTTCATTTGGCAAAGCACCTTTGGTTCTTAGGGTCCATTGCCTTGTAAGATTGATTTGATTCTTCATAAAAGGAAAAGTTTTCATTAAAGTGTAAGCAGATTCTGCATCCATTGGAATAACCTTATAACCAATTGATTGCAATCCACTATTGATCGAGGACTTGCATTTTCCTGTCAATGAGATAAGCTGGCGTGTATTAATCGCTAAGAAATCGTTAAGTTTAAGATAACCACAAACTAAAGAGCGTACATGAGTTCCTGTATGATCATCAGTGATGTACTCTTCAATAAGTTCAGTAACTTGTCCAAAAACCTTCGTAAACTTGGCTTTTCCGCAATTAAATAAAAGTTTCTGAATTGCTTTCTTTAAATCAGCGTATTCAGCCTGTGCTCGGTTATCAAGCATATCAAACATTTGGCATTGGTCATTGTCAGATGAATTTGCTCCAATCATTTAAAATGATTTTGATTTTTCGCAAATTTAAAAATTGAATACTTCCGATCTTTTTTGGCAGATTTGTAAATTTTATATTTCAAAAATTTGACTCATGATAGATAATAATCAATATAAGATGTTGATCTAAAATCTGGCCTCTTTCAAAAAGAGTTCCTATCAAAATTGAATGCACTCATTTTTTAAATTCGAGAAATTTTTTGAATAATCGACCAAGGAACCTCGACAAATCCGGAGGTTTTGACATCATAAATTTGCTTACCATTATGAATTTACTTTTAATCAAATAATCCTTCCAATATCATGTGTGAAATCCCAAGAAAAACTATAATTTGATATATTGTTTCTTGATTATTGGATAATTCTCATTTTTTCACTGATTTTAAGAGATGAACATGATTGTCTTGGCTATTTAATAAATAACCCATTCAATAGACTCTTCTATAACAATGTTTACACGCTCATCAATTTATTTCAATAGAAGAAAGTTGAGTTCAATAAAAACTGGATGCCAACAACAAAATTCTTGCAGAAAATATTGAATATTTTATGTTATTTAATCTTATTCATAAAATATCAAATTACAACATTTTGATAGTTGAGTTATCTGATAATTAGCTGTCATATGCATCTTGAAAGTAGCTAATTAACTTAATGTGTGTGCTAACTTCTCTTAAAAAGATAAAATAAGTTCAAATAATTTGAATATTAGGATTATTTTATTTTTGCTCAAATGAATATATGGCAATATAATCCACTATTATTTCTCGATTTGTCAAAATCTGATTCAATATTCAAATGAGCGGAATTTCCCGGTGTTATTTTTATCAGAAAGCAAATACTTGTAAACTTCAGAATTTTCGGTTATCCACATTATTATCCACCAAAATTTACATAAAATGTATTGTTTTTTGTTCATGTGATCAAATAGTGAAATAAGCATGGAATTGCACTCAAGAAAACTATTATTGCCTAATGAATGGGTCAAAGAAAGCATATCTGCATAATAAAGCTTTTTCCATATACTATTATAAGCAATTTGTATTAGATTTTGTGTGTTCATTAGAAGAGTTCAAGATTTATAATAGATTTTGCTTTTTTGAATGAAATTGGAACTAATTATGTATAAAATAGAAATTTATTCACGAATAATTTAATAAATGTACTTTACGCATTTCAAAGCAAACGAATTTACTCAACAAAATATGTTGGAATTATGACGATAGAAAATTTTCAATTATCGTTCAAATTTGAGACCAATTTTATCACAATGTGCGATCGTGGAAATAATGATCGGAAACCCACCCTTCCAACTTATTAAAAAGTGTATATTATAATGTAAAAATGATATTCGATAGACGAACAAACCTTATATATTTCAATGAGCCAAGTTGATATTACTGAAGAGGAATACAAACAGTTTGATGAGCAGCTCACCAAAGTTAACGACGAAATTTTAGCTAATCTTAATAGCCCTGAATGGAAATTCTCAAAAGATGAAGCTGATGGATGTAAAATTTATGTTCGTCATGTTGCTGATAGCTCATATGATATGATAAAGGCAACTATATCGATTCCTGTTTCTCAACGTGATGCTTTGGAAGCTATAAAGCCTTGCAAAGAAATCACTCCAAAAACTCCGAAAGCAGAAAATGAAGGATTACTTGAAAGGAAGATCTTCAATTACGATGAGAAAGATCCCTCTGCTCGTGCTTTCATCTACTGCTCAACTCCATCACCATTTCCGCTTGTAGCCGGTCGTGATTTCCTCTTATACAGAAAAGTCATTGAAAAAGATGATAAGTTATGTTATACCCATACTTCTGTTGTTTGCGATAAGATTATGCCACAGAAAAAAGGATTTGTTCGTGGTTTAATGAAACAACAAGCATTTATCTTCGAAAAAGATCCAAGTAACCCAGAACATACATTACTCAGCTTCATTCTACATACTGAAATCGGAGGAAGTATTCCAACATTTGCATACAACATGGCTGCTGTCGGCCAGGGCAAGTCTGTAATCGAACTCCGCAAGAGGGCAATTGAATACGTTAAAAATAACTCAAATAAAGCTGAATAAATATACTATCATTGAAATTTATTAGAAATATTTTTAAATAAATTTCATGTTGAAATAAAGATGTTTTCATCCCATTCTATGTGAGCTCTCATAAGTCATTAGCAAATATTTCATGAATTAAAGTAATTTATATTTTAATTTTTAATTACTCATTCTATTATTATATGATAGAAACAACATTGTAAATCTTATAATATAAATTTAATCTATCTATTTAAAAACTAAAAATACTGCATATTTAATGAGATTTCAGCTTTGTTATTCAAATTATCGAATAAAATTCCAAATTTTTTTCAAATTTCTATTTCTCACAATTTTTTTCTATGAATGTTATTGAGCAACAATACTTTCATCAAAAATTTGGAATTTACTTAGATTTCGCAGGAGCAATGCCTCTTTGTGAGGATCAAAATAAACTCTTTTCCAAGCTGGTACAAGATAATTTTGGAAATATTCATTCGAAAGAACAAGTATCAGCACCAGCTAATCAGATGGAAGATCTTCGCTCATACATTTGTTCGATGTTTTCAACAAATACAATAGAATATTCTGTTGTCTTTACTCATAATACAACTCATTCTCTTCAGATATTAGCCGACCTTCTTTCATTTAACGAAAATACAGATTTCTACTATTTCGTAGATAACCACAACTCTGTTTTCGGACTTAGAACTGCTGCAAGTCAAAAAAATTCGAGTATTAAAATTGTCAATAATTTACCAAGCAAAATCGATAAACCAGACTCATATTTCGCCTATCCTTGCCAATCGAACTTTAGCGGAAAGAAATATCCTCTTGAGTGGATTTCGGAATTTCAAAAATTGAGCGGAACAGTCATTCTTGACGCCGCCTGCTCATATTGTCCATCTCTCTCTACTCACAAACCCGATTTCGTATCAGCATCTCTACTCAAACTCGTAGGAATTCACGGGGGAATCTTATTAATCAGAAAAGATCGCATAAAGGATCTAAAAGATCCACTACCAGCTGGAGGAACAGTCAATTATACATGTCCTCGCTCAGGAAAATACGATTTACTCCCAAATATACAGACAAAACTAGAATCGGGCACTCCATCATACTTGGACTTGATGCTTGCATTAGAAGGATGCAAAGTAAGACGAAGCATCGGTACAGAAAAGGAAATCGAGCAAAATATTCTTAACCTTTCAAAAATTCTCGAAGATAAACTGAATAACTTAGTACATTCCAACGGAAGACATCTTGTAGAGTTCCAGCCAAAACGAGATAGCTCATTTGGAGGAACATTTTCGTTCAATCTTTTCACAGTTGATGGGAAACTCATCAATCATCACGATATACAATATTGCTTTAGCGTATTTAGAGTTGCTGCTAGGTTTGGAGGCCATTGTAACTCAGGAAGTGCCGAAATTGCTTTAGGATGGGAAGATGATGATATCGTTTCTGCTGCAAACAAGTTTAAAGATTCACCAGAGAAATCCTGCCTTAGCTCTCAATGCGTCATCGACGGGCGCCCAATCGGAACCATCAGATTCTCTCTTGGAGCATCATCAACCATTGATGACATTGAAAAAATTTCTGAACTTCTGAGAAATCAATTCGTAAACGGGGGTCCCTGCCCAAAGGATGAATTGCAGAAGGTCAATCCTATGAAGGTTGAGTCCATATTTGTGTATCCTGTCGTTGGAACTTTAGGATTCGAAGTTAAAAAGTGGAAATTCACAGATCGAGGTTTGAAATACGACAGAATGTGGAAACTCATGTCAGCAGATGGTGTTACTGTTAATCTGACTGCTTGCACATCATTGGCCCAAATAGAAGCTGTTATTGATGAAAAATCAGATGAATTAATTCTGAAACACACAAGTGGAGATATTCTATCTCTTCCTATAAACAATATCAAACCTCTTGATAATTGCCCAGAAGAATTATCAAAGAATGGAATTGTTTACGATCAATCTGTTTCTGATTGGTTGTTTAAACACGTAGGAAGGTTCTTATATCTCGTGAAAGTTGGATATAGAGATAGTGGAAGAATGGCTTTCTCTTCTATCTCAAAGGAAACGTTCGAAACCGTTGGATCTGATTATGATCTTGAAAGATTCAGAATAAATATCCTATTTAGCGGTGGAGTTAAATATGGAGAACAAGCAAAGCAGTTTGATGGCCTCAAATTGAACGGATTGAAAGTTATCAGATGGAGGCCAAGAGTTATTTGCATGATGACAACAGTTAAGCCTCATGATGGTTCACAGAGATTTGATGTACTCCAAAGGTTATCTAGAGAAAGAGGAAAATACGGAATTGTCGAATTAGGTTCTTTATTCTCTGTTGACTGCGAGGGAATTGAAAGAACACTTTCAGTAGGTGATGTAATCGCTTATGATTGATATTATATTGATATTTATATGTAAATATTAAAGTTTTTTTTGAAAAAAAATTATTGATCGATTTTGCTTAATATATCGCTTAAATGGTCATAAAGCCCAGTAGATAGTTAAAATATGCTCTATTTAGTTATTCTATGTATGCTTAATTATGTATAGGATAAGTAGGAAAATTATTTTTTTTATTCTAATAAAATATATAATCGTAAATATCGGAATTTGCAGATCCTTCGTTAATATCGGAATTTGCAAATTCATCGTAAATATCGGAATTTGCACCATGGGAAAGAAGAAGTTCTTCTACTTCTTTCCTCTCAAAACTTGCAGCAAAATGAAGCGCAGTTTTTCCATATTTATCTTTTTCATTAATATTTGCACCATGTAAAAGAAGAACTTCGGCTGTTTCTTTGCTATTAGTAAATGCTGCTAAATGAAGAGCAGTTTTTTCAACATTATCTTTTTCATCGACATTTGCACCATGTAAAAGAAGAACTTCGGCTGTTTCATTACTATTAGTAAGTGCTGCTAAATGGAGAGCAGTTTCTCCAACATTATCTTTTTCATTGACATTTGCACCATGAGAAAGAAGAAATTCTTCGATTTCCTTTAAATTAAGACGTGCAGCAATAAAAAGAGCGGTTTTTCCATTTTGATCTTTTTCATTTATATTTACACCATGAGAAAGAAAATATTCACAAAGAGATGGAATATTAAACATGGTGGAAATAAAAAAGCATTTTTTATAATCATTAGTTTGATCGAAATAGACTAAAAATGATTCAAGATTATTATATATTCCGCAGTATTCTAAATCAATTTTTATATTGTACTCATTCATCAAGAATGTAACAAAATCAATGTTGTGAGAAATAATTGCATATTCCATACATTCTTCAGTAGATTCTAAATTTATCAAACATTCATTCATGATCTCTTTGTTTCCACCTAAAAATGATAAATTCAGACATTTTTGAGTAATTTCTAAGTTAAATTTCGTTATTAAGAACTTGAAACAATCAACTGCTCCATAGTAACAACATAATTCAAGTAATGAATATCCTTCTTTAGAATATGGGTATAAATCGCTCCGTATTCTTTTATTTTCATTAAACCCATCTCTTTCAGTGGATGGGATGAATCTTTCCAGATCATTATACATAATTGCTTTGTAAATTGTATTTTCTGAAAGAATATCGAGATTTTTTGAGTTAATATCTTCGAACATGTCAGATTCTTTTAATTTAATACCATATTCTTTATAAAACAAGAAATTTGAAATAGTATTAACACTGTTGACCTTTATCAAATGATATTCATCGGATATGAGTTTAGCAAGAGATAAATATGATTTTGTATAGCCATTATTAAACGGGATAATATTTAAAATATCTCTGATGATATTTTGCGGAAGATACTTTTTTGAATCAATCAATTCTGTTTTGATCATCATGTAAATCGAGGATATTTCTTCTTTGTTTTCCGTTTTTAGCTGATAGAGTGCAGCATACGAATCGATATAATATTTGAAATTACTTCTCAATTCGATGAATTTACTTGGAGGAGTGATTTGATCAGACATGTAAAAAATTAAATGTTATAAAATATGATATCTTTGAAATTCATTATGATAAAAAATGCTATTTAATACATATGGAAAACAATAACGACAAAATTCAGATTTACTTCAAGAATTTTGATGAAGTTTTTAGATATTGAATGACACAACAGCAATAGAAAAGTCGAAAGCAGTAAGTTTATCATCCCTATACTTATAATTGGAAAAATTTCGTAATAATTGAGAATATAAATAAAAATTTATCATTCATTTGAATCAGATACCAGGAAAAATGCATTTTAATGTCATTAATAATGTTTTTGATTTGCAAAGTGATATTTTGACTTCATTTACAATGAAAGAGGAAGAAAAATATTGTGTCGATTATACGTAATAATTCAAACAAGTTTTTAGTTTCTATTATATTAAATTAAAAAAAAAAAAAAAAAAAAAAAAAAAAAGGGCAGTGGGGCTTCCAGGGGCTGCGCCCCTTCTAGCCCCGAAGATGTTTAGTATAAAATGAGGTTTTTATTCGGAAAATTGTTAGTCTTCTGGTGTGAATTCGGAGGACTCTTCGTGTTTCTCTTCTTCGTGTTTCTCTTCTTCTTCCTCTTCCATTGCTTCTGGGAAGAAGTCTTCTTCTGGGTCGAAAACATTATATAATGTGTAATTGAATGACACATTATATCTTTCTTTGAGTTCGCTCCTGACAAAGAACTTAGTTCCAGGAATACAGAAGACTTCTGTGCGTTGGAAAAGCTGATGTCCTGGAACAAATTTGGCAATTAGAGACTTCTTTTTTCCGAATTGTTCAGGAGTTTTCATGACGACAGTAACAACATCTCCATCTGCGAGGTCTTGTTCTTGTTCGGAAAGGTAAAGAGCAATGATATGAATAGTTGCTGCGTTGAATTCGAGAAAGTCGAATTCAAATTGTGTTGTCGTATAGCATTCAAACCATTTTGTACAGTTGTCTCCGAACTCGTCAACGTATTCATCTTGGTCATATCCGTAACTAAAGACTTGGAATTCGGCAATTGTCTTGTCGAATGACCGTTGGATGTTACGAGGAAGATTTTGACGAACTTGGTATAAAGTTCTCAACATTATAAGCTTAGTAAATGTTGGAAAATACTGAACTAAGACATCGCTAAGCTCAATTGGACTTGGAATTGTCTTAGTAAGTTCAATTGAACTAGCAATTGCTTTGTTCAGAACTTCACAGAACTGAGTATTGTATGTAGCGTCTGGTTGTGTATTTTCTTCGGCGTCTTTGAGATATTTAGAGCAAATTTGTTGAAGAATTTCTCTTAATTCGCTGTTAGACTTTTTGGCGGTTATTCTAACAGCTGTGCCAGTTCTTGGAGGTTGTGGGGCTTTGGCTTTGGTTAGCGGTTGAGAATTGTTAATGTTGGCTTCCATTAGACAAAAATAAACTGTTTTTTTCGGACTACTCATAGAAAAGTTTAAAATAAACCGTTTTCGTCAACGGTAACCCCCTCTATTTTTTTATTTTATTGAAAAGTCTCCGTTGGCAAACCGTTCCATCTCAAATATTGAATGAACTATAAACGTTTTTTGTTTTCTATACATACTTTTTTGTCCAACGGTAAAACTTTTTACACAACGGTTTTTGAGAGTCGTCGCCGTTGACTTTTTTGTAGAGCACTCAAAATAGTATAACTTTGTCCGGACAAGTAAGGGTCTATCGTCGCTACAGGAAAAGTTACAGGCGTTCCAAGGAAGTATACTTTGAGAAGCCTTTCCCCTTATAGAATGAGATAGGACGGTTATTTTACAAAACTGACAACACTTTGACCGAGTAGTTTTTTGTGCTGAACAAAAAGTGTCATATAAACATCTGTCAAAAGCCGCTTTTTAACTTCACTTAAAATGCCACGTAAGCTACGTAAGAATATACGTAAGAGGAAGAGAGCATTGAAACATCCAATAGTAAAACTGACACCACAACAACAGTTGCAACAACAAATGCTGAATGACCCCATATGTTGCAACAAATGTCAAGCAAACCTATGCTTTTAAACCGAGTTCTTGGTGCACAGAGTGGAGGTTTAAGAGCGGCACTTTTAGCGAAAATGGCAGGCTATGGTGGAGCTGCAGACGGAACAGCTTATAACCCTCAAAGTCAAATGAATTTGAGTTCACTCAAAAATCAAATAACAGATGTCAAAAAGTCAAACATAGATATACAGAAGCAAATAAGCGAAAACGAAAAGAAACTAGAATATGACAGACACACAAAGAAACTCAATGAGTTAAACGTAGAGAAAAAGAAGAAAGAAGAACAACTGAAAGAACTAAGTACAGAGGAATATGCGAAAAAAGTGTCAGAAAAAGCAGCAGAAGTAGCAAAAATGGAACAAGATGTCATAAATTGAAAAACCATACTACTCAATAAAATACTGAAAGATGAAGAGATAAAACAAAAAGCCCTGAAGACATATATGGATAGCGATGAGTATAAAAAAGAAGTTGAAGCAAATGTAAAGGCAGAAAAACTTTTACAGTTGCAAAACCAAACCGTACAGTATGAAAACTTAGCACAAGAAAGTAAAAATAACGACGCAGCCATGCAAAAGGCAATGAAAAGCGCAGAATATATAAAAGCTAACAATGACTGGTTAGATGCCCCAAGCCAACGCTAAAGCAGCCCAGCTTATAGGGTCAATAAGGACAAAAATACAAGCGGATGAAGACAGTTAAGTCACTTTTCATAGAAATGGAACGGCAGTATCTCAAAAAAGAAACGACTCTCAAATAAAATATTGAAGTCTGAAGGAGCTTCGAGACAACAGATGGAAAAGTTTACTTCACTGACCAACAGTTCATTATAGAACATCTCATTGACTTAGAGTCGAAATATTCTAAACTTTACAACAAACACAAAGTTGAAAGGGAACAAAAAAAATGGCATATGATATTTATGAAGATGTTGACGACACAACTGTTCCAGCAAGTGAAGTAAAGTCAGAGGAACCGAAAAGTGAGAAAAACCCATAGAGAAGAAAAACCAAAAACTGAAGATAAACCAAAACAAAGTTTAGTGTTTCCAAACTAAACCAAGTCAACCTTCATTAGCTGGTATGGTTGGCGTCAAAGACTTATGGCAGAGGCGGTTATGTAAAGTAAAGAAAAAAATATTTTTATTTTTATAAAAATCCCCATATAGAATGGATAGAAAGTCTGCTAGAATAAAAGCAGAGTTGCAAAGATATGGTTGGAGAGTTTCGAAGAAGTTTAAATATAGGGGAAGACCCATAAAAGTCTATGACAAATTGTCTTGGTCTTCGCTACGAAATGGATTTGGAAACAGCACGTGCCAATTATCCAAACAGACTAGAGAGGTTAGAGAAGAAGAACGTCTTATGGACATGCCTTTCGATGTTAGTGAACCTCAAGTTGAAGGACACGACGGCTTTGCCAGATTCTACTGGAAACATGACGAACAATTGCATCCTTTGAGAAGGAAAAAAGGAAAAGGTGAAGACACACATGCTCCCATGGAAGAACAAGATATGCATATGAAAAGTATCGTGAAGTTAGAAGTCAAATTACATCTGGTCGAACCTTTACAGTAAACTTTGACGAAGGAAAGAACAAAGAAGGGCTTCATGGGTGTACTTGCTGGGCAATTCAAGACGGAAATAAGAAAGGACACAATCTCAGATTGACCATAACAGATTTGGATGGTCACATTTACTATGCACATGGCAATGTCACAACAGCCGCACAACTTCTTGACGCTTTCAAGACTACAAAGAGAGAACAAATGGTTGACTCCGACTCAGACATTTTGAATGCAATTGAAGGAATTGCAAGTGTCAAGTTCGAATGGTACCAACCTAACCCTCAAGCAGTCAGACAACATGCTGGATACTTCCCGTTCAGAAATAAGTCTGACATTGACTTGACAAGGTATGGAATTTACAATTCAATTGAAACAATTGTCAATGAACCTTGTATTCTTACATGTCTCAGGAACTCTGGTCTTGTTACAGATGAGAAAATGAAGTATCTTGAGTCATGTGTGAAGACAAGGTACATTCTCAGAGGTCAATTGGCAAAAGTTGCACCGTTGGCAAATGTGAATATCCGAGTCAACATACCTACAGCTAAAGGTTCTTCACACGACGACTATGTTGTTGACAAAGACTTACCATGGTTGAAGATTGTACTTGTCCACAACCACTTCATGTTGAACGAAAGTCTTACAAACCCATTGTTCGGAAAAGGCAAGTGCAACATTGTCAAGCTGTTAACATTCTTTTCGAGAAAGGTTTGTTGGAACCAATTCCAGATGACAAGCTGACAGAAACTTTTGTACCAAAAGACGAAACAAACTTTTCATTGTTAGCAAGACCAAAAGTTGTTCCAGACAAAGTTATAGTACAAAAGAAGTACACAGTTCCACAAGGAGTTGGATTGTTCGGATACCAACCTGAACCAGAAGAACTTCCAATGAGGTTGCAAGAACTTCAAGATGCTATAAACAAACTTCCATTGAGACATCCAATTGACGTCAAATTGTATTGGAGAGCATCTGAGTTAGGTCAGAAGGTTTTATATGAAACAGGTTGCTTCGACGATGTTTATGAGATAACAGGAGAAGTTTCTCAGAAGATAAGAGACTCACTTGAATTTCCACAAACTGGGCCAATTGGTTGCGACAAGTTCGACTCAGATGAAAAAATATACTATGTCGACCTTAACGCTGCATACATGAGGTTTGTCCAATATATTCCGACTGGAATTCCAAACGAAGATGGTGAGTTCCCGGGAAGGAACTATACAGTTGGAAAAGTCATACAACAACTGTATGATATTAGGAAAGCTTCAAACCCCAAACTTGCAATGACACTCAAATTGCTTATGAATTCGACATGGGGATATTCCATTAAGAAACCTCAAGAGATGAAGAGTAAGCATTATGAGAAGGTCGACAACTTTGTTGAAAGGTTTTCTCCTTTTGTTTTGAAGTACGAATTTACTCAAGGTCAAAGTGG